TGATGATGATGAGAAAGATGGAAGTTCGAGATGAAGATTAAATCTCACTGGGGATTGGGATTGGGATGGATGGATGGATGATGAAGAGGATGATGGCGATGGTTCCAGTATTTTTGATTTTTTTTGCGCTGCTGCTTCCCTTTCCCCCCGTTTGGGCCAACTTTCTCCCTCATTTTCCCTCATCTTGTCTCGTTCCTTCTTTCGTTTCTTTCTGCTTTCCCCATCCAATCCCGCACCTGTCCGTATGTATTGGTATTACCGTTACGGAGTGTTACTGACCACTAGCCGTTGCCCAGATCACCACAGCTGGAGTTCGCAGCAGCTGGATGCCTTCTTCCAGCCTTCTCCTAGCCTTCTCCTGTCTTGAACATGGAATTTGCCCGAATTTGGTGTTAATTTATACAAGGCAGACAATCATCTACACAACGGCTATTTCATACTTTTCTTCATCAATTTATTCCTCAGAAAAAAAAGTATAACACAACCTCTATCTCCATCGATCGCTCCTGCATCTGGACCGGGGAGGCTCCGTTCCATGACCGAACTGTTTAGTTCGATACAGGTAATGACCGTCTCCAGACATCATCGCCTTTCGATCGGGAACGGAGAGAGCAACTGACTGTGACTGACGGACTCTTCGGGTTTTTATGGAGATTACCGCCAACTCTGTCCCCCGGTTCTCCCATCATCCATCACGCTCTCCAAAATCTCACAAAACAGGACACTTCATCGTACACCTGATCATGAGGGGGAAGGATGGTCGCGTGTGCTGCTGCCCCTCCAGGGGATTTTGACACGATTTGAAGCGCCTGCATCGGCTTACATTGTCCGGCGTACATGGACTAGGTAGACCCTACAGCCGTAGATAAGTCGAGTAACTACGCCGGCGTCTTGCCATGTCCAGGATCCATCCATCCATATTGTGTTCCCGGCATCTCGCGACTTCGGTTCAAGACTACATCATCAATTACTAACAAGCACGCTTGGAGATCGCCAATACTTTGCCATCTCAGCATTTCTGACAGAATTGAAGTTCAATAGCTATCTCTGTCACCTCTGTGTTTCTAATTCCTCTAGAATGCCGATAGCTTCAAACTGGCAGTTGAACATGGAGCGTGGCAATTACCTCATCCCGGGGGTGATGAGGAGCTACCCCCATGTATCTTGCCGGAGCTACCGCCACCAAAGTCTAGTGCCACGCACAATGAGATCGTCTGGCATTGATGTCCAATGACAACCCCAGAGTAGACGTTCTCCGGTTGGACTGCCGCTGATGGTTACATACTAACGCAACGCTTGTCCGAACGAGGAGTTGCACCAATAATTAGATAGGTGCTTGTTCATAAAGGGGAGTTGACTCGTCCCTCCACCAAGGGATGTCTATATGGTACTAGAACTAGTTATCTAGGCAGTAGGGCATGGGTGCTACTCTGTAGCTAAATATTCGCCTGGTAATGGCTTCAAATGCTACGAATAGACCTTTGTACTACTTATATAACCCTGAAATAAAGCTTCTAGCCTCTCTTTAATAAGTGTTTTGCAAACAGTTGTACGACCCCGGCCCATGCCAATGATCAGGGCTCAGCCGGCGCTGCAACAGGTGTACATGATGGCCCCGTTGCAACACGTTCTTCTACCCAAGCTGCAAGTAAAGTATGTTCAAGACTAGAGAAAAGAGAAATCACCTAATATCTCTAAATTCGCAGTCTATTACTCAGTAGCGACTGAGGTGCTATTTCAAGCATCAATCCTTACCTAGCAACCTAGCGTCCTAGCATCCCATTCATGTTGGATCGGCTGATCAAGTTGTTTGCTTTAGGATAATCATTAAACAGACTCTATAGATCTCATTGTAATAGTCAAACAGCATGACCAGACCCATTGCTAAGAACACCTCCGAAAAGGGTTAAGATGGGCTCGTGGTCAGGTGGGTGCCCCAGAGGTACTCGATCAGACCATCCACAACTGGGCTTTTTCAACCTTCCATCTGCCCTTTTTGCCTGGAAGCTTCCGCAGATTCAGTTCTCTGATGATAACTGCCACTGATCATGATATTGTGTTCTTATCATGTCTGACCACCACTCACTGGTGATGCCATTGAACCACTAAGAAGCTGCGAGATCGGCTGAGGCCTGCGAATCCCATGCAAGCTAACCGCAGCAATGAGAGTTCATCTGCGGAGAAACCAGCCAGGGACGGGATTCGGCAGAGCACGAAGAGTTCGAGGTATAGGAACTAGCCACAAGGTAACGCAGAGGAACTAAGGAACATTCTTGAATTTGGGATGAGACAAAGGGATGCGATGCAACGATCCTGGGTGAGGCCCAAGGCAGCGATAAGAATGATCGGCCTAACGCTCTCGGATCGCCCGTCCAACCATGCGCCGTGAAATCTGCCGTGGTAGAAGATCTATCCGCAAGCATGCTTCTGCTACCTGCCTTCATTGCTGCAGATTTTGATAGAATTGAGTGCTATAGACTGGGGAAATCCCGAGAAGGAAGCCGTTCGTCCGCGTCATCCGCGCCTCTCTCGCTCTCAACCTTCCATCGGAATAATCAACCCCTCTTTGCCAACACGAACCAGATGCTGCACGCTGGGGCTGGGCCGACTTAATGCGGTTCTAATAGCGGGGATCTGATAATAGAGGGTCTTTATAGCCAGCGTTCCTCGTATACATCTGGGGTTTCAGGATGTTCATTTCCCTCCACGCATTTCCCGCGAATGGAAACTGCGGAGAGAGCTTGAGTTTCCATGACGTCTATCCCGTCTGCCATGTCCCGCCATCCCGACAGCCATGGATCGGGATCCTCAAACCACTTAACTTCACTGAGACATTGATGCGGGATATTTTCCAAGAGTGGCTTGGGGCATACATCTTTACTGGGCTGTCTGTGAATATCGTCCCTTACTGAATTGGGCATGCTGTAAGCCCGAGGATGGCCGCCCGGCCGAAAGACCAAGAGCCAGCTCTAGGCTCGGTGACTACTACTTCCTTGTCAGTATCTCCTGGCATGAATCCCTGTCCTGCCACTGGATCCTCCTGGTTCGACGTCACTCGATCCCAATTCACTTCCGGCGATGGGCGGACATCACCCCACCTGTCCGTCATACCCGGCAACACCACCAGGACGCAACTACATAAAGCCACGAAGGTTTCTCGCCCCTTGACCTGGGAGACCCTGATTATTCGTCTCACAGAAACATCAATTGCTTTCATCAGCTTCACATCACATCGTATCTTTGTCATCTACTATCTCAACCGATTCCCCGGTCTGCCAACATGACTATCCCGGAGAAGCAATGGGCCCAAGTGGTCGAGAAGAAAGGTGGTCCCGTTGTTTACAAGCAGATTCCGGTTGCAAAGCCTGGCCCGGACGAGATTTTGGTCAAGATCCGGTATACCGGAGTTTGCCACACCGACTTGCACGCCATGAAGGGTGACTGGCCACTCGATTTGAAGCTTCCTCTCGTGGGCGGACATGAAGGTGCTGGCGTGGTCGTCGCCACGGGTGAACTCGTCAATGAGTTTGAAGTTGGAGACCACGCTGGTATCAAATGGTTGAACGGATCCTGTTTGGCTTGTGAGTTCTGCAAGCAGGCCGACGAACCCCTCTGTCCTCACGCTTCGCTATCCGGCTACACCGTCGATGGTACGTTCCAGCAGTATGCCGTCGCCAAGGCCAGTCATGCGTCGAAGCTTCCCAAGGAAGTTCCCCTTGATGCTGTCGCTCCGATCCTCTGTGCCGGTATCACCGTCTACAAGGGATTGAAGGAGTCTGGAGCCCGTCCCGGCCAGACCGTCGCCATTGTCGGCGCCGGAGGTGGACTCGGATCGCTGGCTCTGCAGTACGCCAAGGCAATGGGACTTCGTACCATTTCTATCGACGGTGGCGATGAGAAGAGAGCCATGTGCGAGAAACTCGGATCAGAGGTAAGTCCCCGTTCTCCCGATACCACCACATTTGGCTAATCACACTCCCACAATGCAGGCATACATCGACTTCAAGACATCCAAGGACGTGGTTGAAGACGTCAAGGCAGCCACTCCGGAAGGTCTGGGTGCTCATGCTGTGATCCTTCTCGCTGTGGCCGAAAAGCCCTTCCAGCAAGCAACCGAGTACGTTCGCTCCAAGGGCAGTGTCGTCGCTATCGGCCTGCCAGCCGGCGCGTTCCTTCGAGCCCCAGTCTTCAACACCGTTGTCCGTATGATCAACATCAAGGGAAGCTACGTCGGCAATAGACAGGATGGCGTGGAAGCGGTAGACTTCTTTGCTCGTGGACTTATCAAAGCTCCGTTCAAGACGGCTCCTCTGGAAGACTTGCCGCGCATCTTCGAACTGATGGGTATGTGTGATACCTGCTTATGTTTGATTTGTCTCACTAACAGTTATAACAGAACAAGGCCAGATCGCCGGTCGGTATGTCCTTGAAGTGCCTCAGTAAGCAAGTAGACACGGAAAGAACTGGCGTTGGGGATATGGCTTCACGAGTTGCTGGACAGAGTGTATTAGCCAGTCCTGAACTACTACTATGATGGGTTAATGACTACGATAATGTCTCTGACATACCAAACATGATAAATGAAATAAAATAATTCCCACATGTGATATGACATATACCAAGTAAAAGAGCTTCCATGAACAAGCACGCACTCCCTACTGCAAGTAATCCAGCCTACGGAGGACATATCAGTGTCTTATCCATCATGCAATCATCAGTCACATCACATCACATCACCACTTCCAAGACTACCTAGTTAATATCTAGTCAGATACCCATATAGTAGATAAACTACACCAACCTACCCTTCATTCAGGGATACAACACACTCTACTAAACACCATGAATCTACACACATTAACGATAATCCCTATATTCCTTGCGATTGAAATAGCAGTAATCCCTCTATGATACCACCCACCATCAACCCCCCCATCCATAATCCATACAACCAAACCAACCAAACAATAATAATATAAACACACACAAAACCAAACCCATCACTTCATCTCATCCCCACTCGACTCCCCACTCCCACCCCCACCCACCGTCATCTGCGGCCCTCTATACACCTTCCTCGCATAAACCACGTAATAAACCATCGCCCCCAGCCACAAACTCCCATTAATCACAATCGTATAGTTCATATCCTGCGCTATACACCCACACCGACACACACATTAGCTTTCATCCTCTCCTCAACCCAAACAAGCCCCATCCAAAGGGATAGATAGATAGATAAACTCACGCGATGGATTTGCTCCCCCCGTCGGAAACATACTCAGCACAATAACATACGCCAAATAAACCACCGCAGTAACAGCAATGGGTTTACTAAACCAACCCGTATAAAACTCTCCCGGATGAAACCGCTCCTTACCCCAGACAAGACGACTAAGGATAGGGACCATCCAGGCGAGATCATTCCCGGCAACGGCGAGGGAGAAGAGGGCGCTAGAGGCGGCTTCATCGATAAGACAGAGGAGACCTAGGATGATGGAGATGAGGACGACGAAGCAGACCATTCGGACGGGTTGATAGCGGACGCGTCTGCTCACGTGTCGGAAGAAGGAGGAGAAGGGGAGGGCGCCGTCGCGCGAGAAGGCCCAGCTTTGGCGGGAGGCGGCGACGACCTGTATTTTTTTTTTTTCTTTATTAGGAGTTTTATTTTGTGGGGATGTATGTTGATGGGTGAATGGGGGTGTACCAAGCTTAGGCCCATGAAGAATTGGACGATTGCTACGACGACCATGAAGCCCAGGGCACCGCTTTTGCCGAGGGCGTCGTAGTAGATCTGATGATACCTTCGGTCAGTACTATATTCTAGAGTATAGGTATAGGATGGAGGGAATGGAAGGTGGGTGGGTGGGTGGGTGTGTACCTGTGCCATTGGCTGACCGAAACTCGAGTTCAGCACGGCGTTGAGATCCGGGTTGATCACGGCGGCGATGAGCGCGAGAGACACAAACCCTAACAGACCGCAGAGTCCGGCAGACCAGATGATACCTAAGGGTACGGCACGCGCCGCATGGCTCGCCTCCTCGCTCATGTGCACGCAGGAGTCGAATGCGCCGATGGTCCAGATGGGCGACATCCACGAGAGCATAAAAGTCCAGCCCTGGGGCCAGGTTGTGAGGTTCTCAGAGTGTCCGAAGACGTACGTTCCCGAGTTGATCTGTCCCCCGCGGACGGCTTTACCGATGGGCAGGGCGAGGACGGTGGCCAGGACGAGGCCGACGTTGCTCACGATACAGGCGGACTGGATTTTGGGCATGATGCGCGCGCAAAAGATGGCGATGAGACCGTGGACGACGACGCAGGCGACGTAGGTGCCGTATAGAACGGGCCGAGAGGCCGTCCAGTTTCCATCACGCGCGATTGATACGACGGAGAGGAGCATTGTAGCGAAGCCGTCTTGTCGGCTAGGGTCAGCGATGGGAGGACACGGAGGGTTCGAGGGATTCGCATACAATCGATGGAGCAGACGCCGCCGATGAGTCCGAGACTATTGCTGTACCCTACTACGAAGCTGAGAGGGTTCTTCCACTTCTCGCCGCTGAAGTAGTGAGTCCAGAAGTAGAGACCACCGGCTGTCGGCATGGCGGATGCTAGGTCGGCCTATACGAGTGGAGTAGTGAGCATACAGCAATTCGACAAGCATGAGAGATATTGCGCAGCAAACTTACCATCGCCAAAGCTACGATGAAGATAAACACACTGGCAGAGAACCATCCTGCACGAGTCATCAGAATCTCCACCTAGAGGTTACCAAACAACAGCGAAACCCTTACCCTAACTCTAGTTAGCCAAGAATTCCCCATGTATGTAAATCCAGCATGCATATGCAACCATACCCAAACCATGCCCGCAGGGCCAGCAGGAATCGAATACGAAAGTGTCGAGGCAATCGAAGGCAACAATCCCATAATACTAAAGGCGATAGCGAAGACCTGGACGGTGGAATAATGACGACGCAGTTCCTGCTTATACCCCAGCGTAGCTTATCCGATGCGATCAGCACAAACAACCAGCCAAAAAAAACAAAACCAACAACTCGACAAAGATAAAGATGATAGTATGGCATACCCAAAAGCTGCGAATCCCCCTGCTCGACGGGAGCATCTTCATCAGCCACACGAGCAGCTTCCTTGAGCTTTTCTGCCATGATGGACAAAAGAGAAGGAACAGCAGATAACAAGACAGAGTGATGATGATAGAAGAAACGTGAATGACAGCAGAAGGATGCACAAGCACCAGACACTCAACTTATACTAGTTCCAATGAGTACAGCGGCGCGGGGTTCCAGACCTCCTTCTCCAACCCATCGGGAGTATAATAAGTATCTATCATCCATCTTTTACGCCGAATGGGAGAAAGAAAAAAGACAGTGCTGATAATCCATTCATCCTCCGATAAGCCCAATAAATCGGTGGCGTCGCGCAACCAAATAGGTAAGTAGTAGCCACATCCTAGTAGAATCAACCAACCAACGAAAGAGACGCTCTCGATCAGGAGAGCTGCAAGACTGGGATGTTGTTATCAAGACTCTTATCGCGGGGGAAACCTAGTACAACGCCCGAGTAGCCAATCTGGATGATCCTGCGTCTGATAACAACCCGTGCTGGGGCACCATAGTCTGGAGGCTTGTCGCGAAGGATCCATTGCCGATTGCCCATTCGGAATCGGAAGTGACAGGAAGGGGGAAGGAGGATTATTCCGAGGTTTACTGCTAGTCAGTAAGTACTCTGCCGGTACTGCCAGCTGGGGAATCACGCGTCTACTAGTGAGAGGGGGATCGGCCTGTCCGACTAGACGGGCTTGGCTTGATGGGCTTATCTATCTATGGATTGCAGTATATGACCTACGCATGTGCTTCGTTGCAATTTAACGAACAAGAAGAATCTCAATCATTCAGATCTAAAATGAAACATGGCAATCATACACAATGACATGTGTCCAGGGTGTCCAGACCCGGCTATGCCAAAGAACTGAACAATACAAAAGCAGCTGCACCGGTATATAGTGGATATACAAGCACCCCCCCGCATAAGAAAAAGGGGATTGCTGTCTGGAGCATACTCGCTACTGAACGCAACAGGGCGAGCTACAACCACCGACAGACCCCCAGGGGTCGAGCAGAAGGAACAACCATCCCGAAAATAGGAGGCTGGCAGAAGAAACAGTGGAACAGAAGTTGGAATCATGCATTATGAGTACACACAAGGTGGAAAAGGAAACGAATGGAGTATCATCTAAACAGCACCAGGTCCCTTGTGGTTCGACTGATCTAACAAAAGTCGAGGCTTGATATAATCTTCGTCCAACTGTCGGAACCACGCCGCGTGATCCCCGGACGGTCCTCCCGAGAAGAGGTCGCGAATGGCATCGCGGGCACTCAATCCGGTCTCGCGCCGGTTAGGCGAGGTATTATTAGGGGGTGTGGTCTGCGACGGCTCCAAGTATTGTTGAGGCTGGGACGGCGATCGCCTGAGGCGCGAGGTAGTCGGCGCCGGGGCGGACGGGGGAAGGTCGTCATCGGACGGCGCATCCTCGACATCAAGGTCAAATGCGTCCAATTGATCGGCGTCTGCCACACGGTTCTTTCCAGTAGTCCTCAAGCCAAACTCGTCCTCACTGGCCACATCGCTATCGCTGTGGCTGCGGGCGGCACCACCCAGCAGCGTGGCTGTCGACGTACGATCACGCCCTGAATCTCTCTGGCTGTATGCGTTGGAATAGAGCCGGGCATGGCCTCGCGTACGGCCCGAGCCGGATGGAGGAGGGCTGGGGCGACGGTTGTTGCCGCTCGAATAGCTGTTGTTCCGGTCTATATCGCCGCGCGGCACTCCGTCCAACGGAATGGTCGAGTCCATACGGCGAGGCGTGTATCCCAAGCCTGTATCGGAGCGTTTGTAGTAGGTGCCACCGTTGGTGACCTCAATGTCAAACTCATCGTCCGACTCGATCTCTTCAACAACTCCGGTCCGGATTCCCAGAATCTCCAACATCCGGGCCGTCGTGCCACCGAAAATGATGACGGTCAACACCACCACCACGAGAACAGTGGCTCGCAGCGCTGGGGCGTTGACGCCCTTCAGGCCCGCAGCCAGCGCAACACCGACAGCTCCTCGCAGACCTGCCCAGAAAAGCATTGCTTGATAAGCGAAGGGCAGCTCGTCAGCAACATCCATGCCGCGGCGACGGGCTCTGTATCGGATGAACCAGTTGATCGCCTTGGACAGCGGGAACACCGCCAAGTAACGCGCAATACAGATACCGAAAACGGCGACCAGGATAAAGAGAGGCTTGAACTGTAGATGTCTTTGGACGAGCAAGTCGAGTCCGAGATAAATGAAGATAAAGTTCTCCGACAACTGCGCCATCACTTGGAAGAGGTATTTCGTGGTGAGTTGGGTACGGCGCGACATGTTATAGTATGCATAGTGTTTGAGGGTGATTCCACAGAACAGAAGAGACACAATGCCTAAGAATGTCAGCTTGCTTCACACCATTGGTGAAAAGCACATCACTCACCAGACAAATAGACACCATTCGAGAAGAAGTAGCTGGCATAGGCGATAAGGACAATCAAGCAACTCTCAATCTTGGGCTGGCGGCGCACATGCGTGTACTTCAAGCCCAGAGCGGTCATGATACCGACGATGATACCCACCATCATACTTCCAAAGAAAACCAGCAAGAACACTCCGATAGCCTCGAACAAGTTCAAGAAAGTCAAGGAACCCGCATCACTGTCGGCGTACTTCTGCGCAGTCTCGAATAACACAATAGCAATGGCATCGTTCAAGATCGACTCGCCAAAAATGACCGTGTAAAGCTTCGGCTCGACTTTGTACAAGTTGAAGATAGCCAAGATAGTGACTGGATCCGTCGCCGACAGAGTCGCACCGACTGCGATAGCCTCAACGAAGGAGATATTCAACCCATCCAACGGAATTCTCGTCCAGACAAACAAGACCAATCCCAACACGATAGCAGAGATAAACGTTCCCGCGAAGGCGAAAGTGAGAATGGTACCGATGTTTCGGAAGAAGTTCGCCTGGTGTAATTCGTAGCCCGACGCCAAAATAATCGGAGGAAGGAGAAGGTTGAAGAAGAATTGATAATCGAAAGTGACGCTGTCCTGAATAGGTGACTCAGGACTCAATCGGATGATCAATCCGACGAACATGCCTAAAGTTATCCCAAACCCATGAGCGCCTGACCCTCACAGTATCCCAAAAGGAAACAACCAAGCTGCGATCGACGTACCCGCAAATATAGACAGCACTGTTTCATGAACCGCCTGAATCTTCTTCTGTTGGAGAATGTAACTCGTAAATAGCGCGAACATCAACAACATAATCAGGATGAAGAGCGCCCAGGAGCTGAAGAACTCCTTATCGCCGGTATCCGGAGCATCTGCTGTAAATCCGACATTGTCAGATCGAATGGGCAAGACCAGAGATAGAATATTTTGGAAGGAGCATAACGCGCGTACCATCATCGGGGTCCGTATCCGAATCCACAGCTCTCCCTGAAAAGCACGAGGTCGTTAGTGATCATCTCCGTTTCAAATTGCCCGACCGCGTATGCATCCATCCATCACAAGGGGCCGCCGCCTCCTCACAGAGGAAGCCCCAGGGATCTCTCAACCATCAACCCGAAGCTTGACATTCTCCTAACTGATCCACTGATATCGCATGGGGCATTGAAGACATACGGATTAGCTGGTGTAAAAAGTCGCCCATCACTTGGGTAGCCATTGTTTGGGGATATCCCTCGCAATCACGACGCGGATGACGGTTTTAACGCCCAGCAGCGAGTCTCTGGTACGGGGACCAGGCACACATAATCTGCCGATCGCAAAAGACCTGACGGGAGGCAGAAAGGCGCAACAGCAGCGAAAAGCGAGAGACTGTAAAGATGTGTGAAGCGAAAGCTGGCATGAGTTGTAGGGGACAAGTATTCGTCAACGCCCGCCGGAGTCCCGCGTGGCCAAGACCCGTCGCTGTTCGGCCCGCTGATCCTCCTGGCGTGTGACGTCGCCTCAATAGAATGAACTATTGCTGGTTAGTTACTTTTTTCTACTATTCCTTCCACTTCGGCCTGGTGTTACAGATTATGATAACTCTCCATCAATGTGTAATATTGATATTACTATCGTTGTGTCTGTTACTCCACCCCAATAATATAACTCCTACGATGAAACACTCACTCCCCTTGCTCCCTCGGTAAGCCTGCTGGTCAGCACTGCCGCCAGTACTGCCGCGCAACCCCCGAACCTCATCACCCACCCAACACTGTCATCCCACGGCTCACCCCGAGGCTTCTGGAACGCCTTGAAAATCGCACTAGAAATCAGACTCGAGATGATTTGTGGCGCCGAGATGGCCACATTGTGCAGTCCGAGGATGATCCCTGCCTGTGCTAGATTTTCTTCCTCTTCCACTTCCCCTGCCTTTGTAGTTGAATTGGGTGATCCATTCTCCAGGTCTTGCTCATCGGTATTGGCTCGGGCTGGTGTTCTCGTATCATCGCGAGGCTGCTCGGAGACTGCACCCCCATTCTGATGCCGCCGGATGCGACGCTCCGTGTCAATGCGGGAGACCTCCGCAGAGATTAGGGCAAAGGGTGCCCAAAGCGTCAATGCCCACGAGATACCAACGATCCCGATAACCACCGTTGCCGCCTGGTAAGAATAGATGAAGAATGTGCTAAACATGCAGACAGCGAACAGGATGTGCGACATGAGCCACGCACGCCGAAGGGTAAATCCGGGGATCTGCAACTTCGCTAGCCACTTATTCTCTCCCGAATCGCCCTTATCGATTCCCAAGATTGGCGCGGGTGCTTCCATGGCAGTGCTAATTGAGGATGTAGACAGCCTTCTGTTGCCTAGGAAGGGCTCGTCCTCCGACTCACCTTCCGTAGGAGTGGGCTCAGAAGGAACAGCTGACTTGTAGGTAGGAACAACAAGGACAGGCAGTGTTAAGTTTGTCACAAATGAGATGATTGCGTAGACCAGCAGCGCAAATGTCCCAATTCTCGTAGCTTCTTCCCAAGCTTTGTTGATATCATCATCCGAGAGACCCGGGTGTCCATCGAAAATCGGATTCACAAAGAGCTGCCCGATATATGTCGTGGAATAGAAAAGGAAAGGAAACCAACCCACCCACGCGGCAAGTTGAACTTCGCACACCTTGGCAATCTCCGGCGGCAGGTGTTTGATCGACTTGAAAACGTGCTTGAAGAATGTCACAAGCCCAGGGTTCCCCGATGAGGGCGTGCCATCTAGACGGGGATCGCGTTCTTTAATGTATAAACAGCTGACCAACAACGTTAACCCAAGTGCGACGGACGCCAATGCACAGAGGACTTTGAACTGTGTGTTTCCCAAAAACGGGAACCATTTAGGCAGGTCCATATATCCAAAAATGTACCCAAGAATGTTACCAACGCCGGTGAGCCGACTAGCCCATGCATTTGCTGCCTCCTGCTGGTGCGAAGGGGCATTATCCACAATGAAACACCGGATGCCTGCCTGCACTGGAACCGAACAGTCACTTTAAGTTTGCACATATAAGCGAAGCATAAGGAAACCTACCAGTATTTACAGAAAAGTCAAGGCAGTACATCAGGATGGTGGCCAGTACAATGACCACTGTCCGCGTTGCACTGGAGGCCGGATCAACACCGAAAAGGCCAAGGAAGCCTCCGGTCATCTCCTTGACCCAGGCGAGAGCAAGGAGAGAAATGACCGTCGCAATGCCGCCCACTACCATGAACGGCTTTCTCTTGCCCCATGATATGCGGCAATTGTCGCTGCAGATGCCGATATACGGCTGCACAAGGGTACCTGTGATAGGACCAGCAATCCAAACGAATGCAAGTAAAGCCTTGCTCATTCCGAGGGACAGGAGGTAGGGCTATGCTCAGGAACATAATTAGCACCCTATTCCCACATGAAGCCCTAGAAGCAGTGGTAGCTTACCGATCCATTTGATAGCTCAGTGGACCACACAACCTGAAGACTAGAACAACAACTCGTCAGCTTCGGGCAAAAGCCATACAGCACACAGAAACAGTCCTTGACTAGATCGCCAACGGACCAGACTAGCCACCTACCCGCCAATGCTCAAAGTCAACAAAAACAGGTACCAGCTGCTCTTCGTCTCAGACAGTGGGTGAGCATCTCCAGCCCCGCTGGTCCCGTTGTTATCTCCATTTCTTGACATCGAATGCACTTGATTATTGTCAGATGCTCCCACCAAGGGGGAAGTTTCGTCAGCGAACCGCTCATGCGTCTCTGGCATTTGATCTAGCTAAAAGCAGCGTTGCTGGACACAACGATCCCCTGTTAACAATCGGGGAATTCAAAAGAAGTTACCGCGCGTGTGTGTGATACGATCAGGTCTTCCTGCGTTAGTCATTCATGGGATAGAAAAAGCCCCGAGGATAGCACACGCGGACTAGTAGCATATAAAATGATTAGAAGTGGATAGATAGACCCAAAGGGTGTGGAAAGGCCGTGGTACACAAGCTAGTCCAGTATGGAATGCAACCGTTCTGTGGCTTCTTCCTGCCGGAGGTTGAAGCAAGTGGTAGTGCAATATAGTGTGTGATAATCTCAAACAGGCTGTTGAAACGTGGTTGAATTCCTCAGGGTTCGGCAAGAGGTAGTAGTGGACACGCGAGTATGTATTTATGGAAAGTGAAGCGCTCAGGGAGCAGTATCAGCAGATAGGAGGTATGGCACGAAGATCAACCCTTTGGGTTCCTAGTCTTGCACCATGCTAGGCGGACTATAAGAACAGCTCACTGCAGAGAAATAAAGAGGAGGCATTCCCGATGAATACGATGGGGGTGTCCTGGATGACGATAACCTTGTAGAATCGGGTCGACGTCAGCAGGCCATGCACGTGATATAGCCCGATCTGGAAGCCGGGTCGAACGGGTCACGATTGGATCAGGCGGAGACACGCAGTCGTCTGACAGGTGACAAACATCCATCCCCTGACTTACTTTTACGGCTACTAGTCATTTAAACAGCATGGGTTTCATTACCATTTGATTCATATCTATATGTATGTGCTCAACCTATGCACGCCCGTCGCAGACACAAGAACCCATCTTCTCGGAATATCTATAATGGAAGAAGCTTCAAATCCAGACCCCCTTCTTGCATCCCCGCTTCAGGTGTGCCTGGAGAGCCGCAAAATATCCCACGAGCAAAGAAAAGTAGCCTTTTCAGGCTATATGCCCTTTTTGATCAACCTTCATCTGTAAAATCCAACCCACCAAAGATTCCCATCACCGCGATAAATGAAATAGTACAAGAAAGCCCATTATCAACATAGCACATAAAACAAATAAAACCAGGAACCCGACCGAACAAAAGGAGACAAGGTAAAAACAAGCATAATTATGGGGTAGAGACAACAGCTTACCAACCCCGAGGAACGAACACATGTAACGCTTATTATGGACACCAAATCCAGACCGACCGCAAATAGGAAACAAAGGAAGATTCAATCCAAATCTGGAAGCAGCCCCGCCATCACCCGGGGGACAAGGCCGCAAAGCAGGAGACGAGATCCTGCAGGAAGCCAATAGCTGTCAACCGAGCCTCAGTGACGTGGCATCAACGTACAGGAGCCACAGGGCCGAACAGCGTACACTTGGCGATGCAATCAATCAAGAACGGAGTAAGGGACGTTTTGTATGCAGACACGCGCCCTCAACTCCTCGAGTTAATAAGTGAGAACAAACACAGTAGACGACCGAGGGTCGAGATGCAAAAGCATCAGTAAGGACTGAACAAAGCGAACAGAGTAATGTGTGACATGTCTGGCAAAGTATCGACCAGTTAGAGGTCCACCATGGCGCGTCACTCATAGCTGCTGCTGCAATAGTTGAGGCGCAATCATGTGAGGAGCGACCATTGTGGGCATAGCCGATGGCAGGGTCATAGCGGAGGGCATCGTGGTCATGCCAGGAACATTAACCATGGCACCTGAGACAGATTCAGACGGAGAAGATCCCTCCTCGGCTGAACCAAATCCGTTCTCGTCATTTTCCAGGTCTTCCTCGTGGCCAGAAAGGGGCTGCTGCCCATCCTGTTGAGCCTCGTGGATTCGACGGTGTCTGTAAGGCAGATTAGCATCCTGCAATCAATATCAAGTGAACATGCTGATAACTTACTGTGCCAGGTTGTCCGATCGGGAGAATGCTTTGTTGCAGTAAGGACAAGGGTAGGGCCTCTCTTGGGTGTGCGTTCTCACGTGTCTGCATCCTTCATGTTAGTCGGCGGCTACAGAAACAATGGCTTTAAGGCTTCCGCCGATCCCTTCAGGAACCCGGACCAATTGGGAAGCTCATAAAAATAGAATTTTGCAGCTTACCGTTTCAAATGTTCTAATCTCTTGAAGAGGCGTCCGCATGATGGAATGGGGCAGGAGTGTGACTTCTGCGGGTAGGGGCCGAGCTCCATCATGGTAGCGCTCCGAGCACGACGGATGGGACCGTATCGGTCATTCTTGGTCGTCGCACTGTTCTGGACAGATGCATCTAGTGCCTCACCGCTAGGGAGAGGCGCTAGGTCATCTGGTTGATTTGCAAGAGCCAAGGTACCCTGTTCGGGGTTTTCCTCGAGACTCGGCAGCGGGGTGCCGTTGCGGGACATCTCATGCAGCAGGTTCTTCTGGGGAAGGACTGCAGCGCGATAGCCATTGGCAGCCCTGAAAGACTGATCATGGTGAGACTCATCCACCTCCGCTACCGGAGCCACCGAGCTAGAGACTGAGCGACGAAGGTCGCTGGGTTTATGGGCAGCGTACGCAACAGCTTGATTCGGTGCACTAGTCACCTGGGGGTGCGGCCCAGCGCCAACGCTGGTGATACTCGGGGGTATCGAAGACCGCCGCCTACGTTGCTTGTATGTAGGAGAGCCTTCGATGACCGAGTAGACATTTGAAGGGAAAGTTCTTGCAGGCGCCGGGTAGTGCGCATGGGCAAGGTTCGACGGGGGTAGCTGCATCATTGGATTGAAGTGGGTTGCGGAAGAGATATCGGGGATGGCGGTGTAGAGACCGGTGTCTTCGTTAGCGATGTATGCCGGTTCAGCTCCAAGGTGGGAGCTGTGCTGAGGAGGTGTAACAGGCTCGAACGATAGGCCCCGGTTGCTGTAGTCCTCGTATTGAGACGAAACGAACGATGGCGCCGGCGAGTATTCGACGAAAGTGGGCATGGAGGCATGGCGCTGGTGTAGACGAGCAATGGGCATGCCATTGCGGTCGTATTGAATGTGCCCGTATTCGGCTTCGCGCTTAATAACGCTCTGGGCCAGGGTGGTGGGCATAGGAACTGGGTTGTACATCGCCGGATTGCCCGACTCGTCCGGGAGAAGGGGTAGCGCCGGGGGAGCCATCTGGGGAGCCATCTGGGGAGGAGGCATAGCGTCAACGGTCCGAACCACTGGGGATGCGGGTTGGCCATATGTCGTACTTGCGTGTGCAGCAAAAGATGAGGAATTTGCTTGTTGTGCCTTTGTGAGTTGTTCATACAGCGACTGGGATGAATCGAACTCGAAAGACAGAGCAGGCTCGCTGACCGCAACCGTGGTCGCCTCCTGCCCCATTTTCTCCCGCTTTAGATCACGTTCCAACGCATCGAGAAACAGCCGATCGTGTGGCACACTGTACCAGTAGAAGACTTTCTGCTTTTTCTGGGTTCGAATGCAATTGTTCTTGTAGAGGAAGTCGAGGAACGGGCTCTTGGGTTCTTCTAGAGTAGCATCAGTTCCGGCCTTGAGGTTTCGCAAGTCCGAGAAGATACCCTCCTCGAACTTCTTCGAATTCTTCACGGGGCGCCCGAAGGCCTGGAATCTGAATGCGAGGCATCTGACGATGTCGGTTCCGGAGATGTGAAAGAGATTACTCCTATGGCGAATCAGTTAAGGTGTTCTTTGATCAACTGCATGGCATTGCGACGATCGCAACTAACCATAAGACGCAAGAGATGTAGTCGCCAGTAGGAAGCAAGAAGCGCCGGATGAGTTGATCTGCATGCCAGTCCACTGGCGCCGAGAGGAGAAAGTATTTGACTATACCAGAGATAGACCATTAGTCAGGAGTCCATCAAAGGGCCTGGGTTGAAGGCACTGGAAAGCCAGACTGAAGCTACAGGCGTTGTAAGCATCGCAAAGGAAAACGTACGATTGTCAACCTGCTGCAGCGCGACTTGCGCGTCATGTGGAAGGCTTTGCTGGGCCTCAGTGGAAAGCATAAACGTCTCCGGCTTTTGGGGGGGTGCCATAGGGGCACCGTGTTGGGAATACATAGCGGATGTGATACAGTAGTCTGTCGGGGAATCAGTCAAATCTTAAAACGACGGTTTTGCTTGCAAGCATAAGCGCGAACAAAGAAGAGCGCCATGGAAGCGGCAAGTGGACGGTGTCACAGAGCACCGGTTGGGCAGAGCAAGGAGTTACGCACAGTCACAACACCCGGTTAGGAAAGCGGACAAACAACCACTCGCAAGGAATCAAGGGGAGCGATCTCGGAGGATTGAATGCTATATAAAGATAGAAACAGGTTTGGATATAGGGTGTTCGACGACGGGATCGTGAAACACAATAGGGTTATCCAAACACAGCTGATGGGTAGGAAAAAAGAGGTGCCAGCCTCTTGTATGGAAAGAGTAGCAAGCAAGTAGTAGTTAGGCGCTGACGTTGTGCCGACCCTCGTCAACAAAGGGCAAATGAAAGGCAGTGAGAAAGAGAGAGAGAGAGAGAGAGCAACAGAGAGTTGAACTGGGCCAGCCCGATTACAAGTCCCTTGGGTTGAGATAACTCGCACGGCGAAGATGGGGATGTGAACTGAAACGAAAGGAGGTGAAGAAGAAGAAGAAGAGGAAGGACGAAGTAAAAATGGAAGAAGAAAAACAAGAGATGCCAGTCGCGATGGGGAAGAGTAGGAGGGGAAGGGGAAGAGAGGAAGAGGAAGAAGTGGAGGGATGAAGTAGGGACTTGCTTTTTTACAGCAGAGATGAGGTACAGATCAAGTATGGAAGGGCAGTCGGTAACCGGTAATAATAATGCCAATCGATAAAATAATAATCTAACAATAAATAATAAAATCGGGAAAAAGAACAATAATAATTTTAAACGACCAGCCAGTGTCGAGAGACGGAGACTTTGGGTCTGGGAGGAGGAATTCAGGGAGCGCCGCCGACCGAGACCCGCGGATCGAGTCGCCCACTTCTGGAGTCACTCTTTTCTACTACTCTTTCTTCTCTCCCTCCTGGGCGGCTTGACTAAGTTACTTACTTAGTTGGTTGGGCTCCGGGATACGCGCACGGCGAAAAAGTAGGGCTTTTTTTTACCCACTGAGTAAAGAATAGGAAAATATAAGTGGAGACTGGCGCCAGGGACCGACTTCAGGGCAGGGGGAAAAGGAAGAAATAAAAAAAAAATAAAAAAGAATATTTCAGAGTAAATAAAATAAAATAATAATATAATAACAAAAGAGGAGAAAAAAAGAGGACAGAAAGTCTGAGAGAGCCTAAGGGCAAAAAGAGGAGAGAGAAGAGAGAAAGAGAGGAGAGAGAGGGCCCTCCCGGTAATCAAATCACACGATACAGGAATTATACATGTATGGTAAAAAGGACTGCTCCCTGAAGTAACCTCCCCCCAGGACCGATTATCCTGCCATTTGCATCTCTCAGCAGCGAATTCACACCTCCAAAAAGTGGGGTCAATGGTAAGATATTTAGGTATCCAAACGGTCAGGTACCAGGAGGATAACCAGGTTACCAGACAGTGGGGCTGCCGCCGACTTCCAAAGATTCCAATCCATCCCATCCGTTAGTGATTTTTTTGTTGCCGGGCCGCCTCCCTCTTGGGTTAGTCCACCTCCATCGTTGCTAAACTTATTCATAGAAACCTGCTGGAAGGTGGTAAGAGCATTCAGTACGGAGTAAGTTATCTTGTTAAGTAGTCCAATTTACTAGTCACTTGATTTTCTGGTCGGTCATACCAACATTGAAATGAGTAAAAAAAGGAAAAAGAAAAAAAAAAAAAATCATCAGTTGAAAGGGGCTCTAGTACTACATACTAACTGACATATACTACAAAATAATCATCCTACACACCCTGTCTCTTCCTGCAGCTTGCAATCATACACCCCAAAGCTTTAAGCCAATCCCATTGATTCTGTGGGGTAGCCTACCTGCTCCGACTTGGCGACTGTTAATTTGAAGAGCGCTTCCTGAAGATATCTTACATCATGGGCCGCGCGATATTTACTGGCTTTCTGCTATGTGTGGGGAAGGTGTGGCTAACCTTACACAGAAGAAAGGGAATGGGCAAACAGAACATGCAAAAGTGGAGTTGGTCCGGTAGCCTAGGCACCTCCATGATGGATCATGGGTATCCGACGACCTGACTGTTGGGAATTCGGATTTGCAACCAAAATAGGATATCAATTTGCTTTCTCTGTGGACAAAATTCCTTGAGTGGGATCCAGGGAGCCTTAACACAAGTAAGCTCTATCTCTTGGCATCCCGATATTACTACCAGAAGCTTTTGGAAAGGGGGAAATCAGGAGAAGGGTTACCCTCTGTGGTGTAGTAAGAGTAAGTCTTGTGTAGTAAGTAGTTGTACACCACCAGATATGCACATAGGCGCGCACGGGCGATGTACCCTCCTCTTTCTCAACTTACTTAGGCGACGATTTATTTGGGGGCCTCATTCTTCTTGGGGGCCATTTGCCAGGTCTCCAGCCTATCCAAGCATTACACACATACACAGACACAACCCAACCCACCATTGACACTAGCACTGCATATCACACAGCCAGCGGCTATGGTAAGTGGGAAGTCACATCGAATAAGAACGAGAAGATGCGGGTTGCTTAACCGCCCAATTCATCGCTACCAACCTTCCTCTACAGTAGTAAGTAGTCCACTACCCTTCCTTCTTTTTTTTTTTTTTCTTTTTTTACACCCTTTATGCCAGCAATGCTACCCGCTTGGTCAAGGCATGGAAATGAAATCACAAACCAAGGCGCCTCGCTGGGTTTGCCGCCCTGGGTGGAACCAAGAAAAGGCCACAACGCCAAGCCTGCACACCCGATCAAACTGGCGCGGGAAACAATCTTGAAGCATTCGCCCCTTGTTTCAGAATTCTGGTGAGCGCTTACTACTCCGCCAATGGCTGGCATGGATTATCCCTTCCAACCCACAATTTTCAGTGGCCCCAATTGAACTGAGAGAAGCAATATCCACTTTCCAGTCGTGGTCAGTAGTGTGCCTTTCTCTCTCTCGCTCTCTCTCTGTGAGATAGGTTTGTTTACCCTTGCCTACTTACTTACCTGTATGTGACTACTGTAGCTACAGTATGACTAGTAGACTAGTAGGGGGTAGCTAGTAATAGCCCATATATCCATCCATCACCTTTGTTTTGTGTTTGTTCCAGCAACACAGTATGACAAAGGCTTCCAACCTGCTTCTTCAATGTGTGGTTGGATATCTGGCGGCTATGCCATGCTATCATCACCTGCAAATGATTGCCTGGTGTAGCATAGCATGGCATGGCATGGCATGGCAATGGCTGTGTTGTATTACTTACTTGTCATGGGCTCATCTGATTGTCAGACTAGCCATGCACCAGTACCACCGCCCGGTTTCTGTCCAACAGGCGAATTACATGCAGGGTTGTTATGCGGGTTTCCGAAGTAGTATCTAACTAGTAGAAACTCTTCAGGGCAACAGCCTAGTAAATGACGGCACCAAAAATAAACCGACTGACTGATCTTATGTGATGACCAGTTTGATCGTGGCGCACAATGAGGTACAGTCCTTGGTATTGTTCCTTTGGTAGATATCTACAGAGTAGAGAGTAGTAGCCTCTTGGGAAGTCTACCAAAGTAGTGGGACAGTATGATATGTTTTGCCCCCTTCGGCTTGCATATGGCCCCCCTTTGTTTGGGAAGATCAAGGGTACCGATGGAGGAGGTCACTCGGCCAGGCAGTGCTTACACACATGTACATACACATACACACACATTTTCAAAAGCATGGTGGGCTTAGCTGCTCAAAGATAGGAATAGCCTACAGCCCAAAACGCCACTGCCACCAAGGGACGCATGACCGGTGAGATTTGCCGCTCAAGGCTGGTTGAGGGGATCTCTGAAGATAGTAGTAGCTGGGAAAGTAAACCCCGGTAAGTTGGTAAGTACCTACTTAGTAGGTACTTTCTGCCCTTTGATTGTCTTTGGACGTATATAACTGATCAAGATGATCAATCACAATCACCATCATAGCGGCAAGCGCTACGCCCATTGGCCCACCAACCATAGCCTCCAAATAAAGATTAATATCGGATACAAATTATCACGATCGACTAAATCACATTCACCTGACTCTTTCACAAGATACAGACAACGATCTTAAATTAAATCGCACACAGTATGAGGGGCCCGATTACCCGAGCTCATTTTTGAGACATCAAGGTTTGGTCCGTGTGCATCAATATAGTGCACTTCGATATTGGGATCGTGCTTTATGGGGTATGTTCCTAACTCTAAGAATATCAAGATCGTCCTCGTCGTCTGAATTCATAGATGCCTGATGATATTATCACTGGTATGTCAGAGATGACATAATGATCGCCTGAGTCACATACCAGGCTGAATCACTGTAGCAGGATAGGAAACAAGCGCGGGTAATGTGGCAATCCATGTTTCGTGACCCGAGCTAACCCATTTGTTTAACGCGATCACAATGACAAATCTAAAAGCAATTGTTTGCTAGTTAATCTGGGAGAGAAGAGGCGGTGATGCGAAAAATGAGGTCTAGCCGGTTTGACCCCGGAGCATGCCATCATACGGTCAGGACGTTGAGCATCAGGGGTGATCTGCGCAATCCAAAGGATGGATGCGAAAACGGCGAAGCTTAGTCGCCAAGCCTTAACAGCCCAATTCTTGTGGTATCCATGGTAGGATGTGTCTTCCGAAAGTCAGTCCGAAGTGTGCCGTAAGGCCATGATTGCCCCCCTATACTGTACTTCCTCCACTTCAGCCCGTTCAAGGAGGTTAAGATGGCCAGTATAGTCGGTATGCTGGTTATAGAGGCATACTTAGTGCAGCGGTGCTGGGATTGTCAGGCGGTCATTGGTCCGATCGTCAAGATCTTTATGTAAGTAGTCTACTCCACAGTTTCGGCCGAATTCTGAATGTCCGCAGAGAAAGAGAGAAAGACCTACAGAGATAGTCACCGTGCACTGTGCAGACTACAACGACTGCGTGTGCTGGGCAAAAAAAAGGGGGTGCATCATGGGTATGCCGGTCAGGAGAGGTCAGGGACCACCAAGAAAACACAAAAATAGACAGGCTGATATCTGAGCACTGTCATCGATCAGGGTCGGTGGGAAGAGACCCCTTGCTACCCATGATAAATTCTCCGAAGACCCAGTCAAAAATGCCGGAGGCTGGTTGCTGCATTTGGGAGAAGTCCGAAAGACCGAGCATCCCGAGAGGGCGCCGATAGCTCGCACCCATACACATTTAGAGTTATTCAAAGCCATGTCTTTTAGTCTGGACGCCTCTTCGGAGCAGACTACGTAAGTTCTCACGATATCTCGCAATAGTTCTCGGAGTTGTTGCGAAACAATGTGGAAGAACGGCGTAAGGATGGGGATTAGGATGGAGTTAGGATGGAGTCGGGATGGCTCGAATCCAGTAGCAACAGTCGGAAGCATAGCGAGACTAAGGTTAGCATAGCAAATAGTGCCAGTAGATAGTACTCCAATACCCCATCGAAGATGCTAAGTGGTACTAAGGACAACTTGGAAACTCAAGCTCTCCCCTGACGGTTGAATCCTTCCAGACCCTAAGTGGGTGGCAACCAGGCCGGAATAGGCAATTGTGCCTGGATTCCATGGGGTTCTCGATGGAGACCTAATGGGGCCATAAATTACGGCCGCCTCTGCCGGCTTGCTGACCACAAGGTCGCAATTGGTAAAGCCGGCATTAGCTCGTCATTTAGTGACTTAGTGGTAAGTTAGTTCAGAAAAAGACCATTCTACTTTGACTTACCCTTTCTGTCCTTCTGCGAAGAAGAAAGGTCGCATTTCCAGCAAGGGAAGGCTTGGCCCGCTCTCTGTGCAACGGGCCTGGGTTTGATCGTCAGGCCTGAAACCATCTAGAAAAGTCCAGCACTGTTCCAACTTCCGGCATCCGTCACTGCCAGGACCACCCGGGCAACATCTATCTCTTACTGAATGAGTCTGTGCCGCACTCGGCCTCGGCCTGTACTGCTATCTGTCGGGGATATGAGATAGGAAGCTCAGGGCGATCAAACAGAGGCCGGACCAACGCTAGGTCCATCTTTCTACATCTCTACCTTCTGTTCTGGTGATAGCTTGTGTCTCGTATCTAGCGATGCAGCTAAGCTGGAGTAGTGTCCAAGATGAAACCTCCCAGCCTGACTCGAGAACGTGCGGGGGAGCTTAGAGTCGCGTCCATCCGGCTTCTGTTTACAACTGTCAGCTCCTTAGTGGAATGCGTAGCGAATGCGCCGTCCCCATGCTGATCCTCCCAGCCTGATACATCTATCTCTTCCGGATGGCCGATACGTTCATTGGTTAGTAGGCCAGCTTGGTCGGCCTCTTTCACCTAGGATTTCGCACATACAATAGTCGCTTGTTGACGACAGTCGTACTATCCCACAAACTGATATAAATCCGTGAATCATGCCAATAAGCCTCCGAGACCCAAGACAATAACATTGGCTCCCTGGGGAATCTCGCTCCGCCAGTAACCAAATGAAATGGCCGGATATATCGGAATGGAGATGATCAGCGGCCTTATTCTCTCCCCGTTTAAACCTCGGGTTTTGGGATTAGCCTATATTCTATATGGCGACCAACGGAGAAAGCTGGAATTCCGTGTCCGCGAATCCACCTCTTTCCCCTAAAGTTTCTGCCCAGGCCATAGATCGATCAGCTAGCTTGCCCTTGTCTCTCGATCCTCCACATTGTTGACTTCTCGATATTGAGGACCACAGATGAATGACTTTTTCCATCATACCTGTCTACTAAGGTGAAAAGATATCCATGGGCCTAATAACACCAGCTATCTAGTGCATTGTCAAGATGCCAAGCAGGTAGGTTAGCACTAAGAGGGGGGATTACGCATTTTTTTCCCACGTTCCTGCATGAAGGATCATATAGCGGCATTTTCTGTCACTAGACATGGATACTCCAAATCCGCATCATGCTATCAACAACAACACGCTATAGACACCAATCCGGCTTCATGCGCGATTCGGTGGACTTCCGCTTAAAGGGGTGATAAATGCCAAGTGTAGTCGGCAATGATCCAGGTCCAGCTTGCACGATATCGTCTAGACTTCTCCAGAAGGCACCAACCACCCTGTATCTACGGGTTACGACTCAGACTTCTGACTCGTACTAAGCGACATTTCCAAGCGATTCCGGTGCAAGTGTCAAAGTACACTGCTCGGAATGGTTACGTGCAGAATCTGAAACGACGAAGATGTCTCCCTGTCCCGCCTCATGGCTTGTGGTTCGTGCAAAGGCACGAGCATGCAGAATTTAGTGGGAGATGACTAACAAAACCGGATGGATGCATGGCAATAATGGGAACTATTATTGACGCCTTAGCAATTCGCATCAATTTTTTTTTCTCCTTTTGCGGCTTCTCCATTCCCCTTCACGGCAGCGGTACCTGAACTAGAGAATTGGAACCACGGAACCGCTATTGCACTAACCTAATAATATCGGATTATTCATGCAGGTACCCCGGTACACCGGGACTAGATAAGCAGACAGAGGAACTGCCTGAGGGTGGGACGTTTATCCGCTAGTAGCAGATCGGTGTGCCTGTAGCCGCAGAACTGGCAAACTCAATCATATCAGACTGGCAAACTCCTAGTCCTTATTAGGCTGGCTTAAACCGAGGCCGAGCTAGAGATGGGGGGAAAAAAGGAGTATGACTGATCAGATGAGAAGCTAGGTTTCTCAACTCAACATTTGGTGAGCGCTACTACTGGAGAAAACTGACGTGTACTTTGATAGTAGTTCTCCAAGGAATCGAGCTAAAAAGTACTAAAAGTCTTGTTTACAGTCGGTTCATGCGACGCCCTTTCATCGGGTGTCTCTATACGAGATGGAGACGTTCTATTTTTGCTCAATAACAGACTAGACGCTTTCTAAGATCCATCTATCTAGGATGACTCGTGCTTCAGCTGTTTATAGACAGCACCTAGCGGCTAAAACTGGCCAACCTCTGGGGTATTCTCATGTCGGTCGACCTTCTCAAACGTCCTAAGGCCATAGGCTGTCTCAGAATTGGGGGTCTCGTCCTCAAACCTTAGCTCGACTCGGGGATATCACCGTATTCGGAACAGCGTGCTCGGTCTCACACATAGTTTGGTGCTATTGGAACGTGCTTCGCACACTGTCTTAAGGCGTTTCGGGGAATAAGGTTTGAGCGGGCAAATCAGAAGTTTCAGCATTGAATCAAGGCTGCAGCCAGCATGGACGCCGGGGCCATCTCGACGTCCTCATTACGAGCGGGCGCATCGGTCTGCTCTTCCCTTTGTTGCGGCACATCGAGGACTCGATCCCGACCTATCACAGCAGTCTGGACACGGTAAACCTTCACAAAGGGGTCGGGGCGTGTTCGTGAAACAGCCGAAGAACAAGAGGAAGGCGAAGGATTGACAGAAAGTTCCTCATGTAAAGAAACAGACTACAACCCCTCTTCCGGTAAGCATTACTGGGGCTAGGATACGCTCGACAGCCAATCCACGTCGAATCAGGGCGGCGCGCTCTGGGCGCGCACGGGACGTAAAGGGATCTGACTGGGAGTGGTGTCAGGCGTGGCTAGTACTGCCATTCATGGCTCTCAGGCAGGCCTAGCGACGTCCTCTGCCCCTGCCCTTGCCCTTTGTCGTGCGGCGCGGGCCTTGAATGGCGGCCACGTCACGCTTGCTCAGGTTCAAAGCACCACCCGCAAATTTTCCGATAGAAGCACCTCCGACACCGCGCTCCCGACGCTTGGTGCTGGCTGGGTTTGATTTCGGTGCGGGCTTCTCGAGAATGATACCGTTCTCCTTGGCTTCACGTCGGCGCCTATCTTCCTTCATTTCCGCCTTCTCCTTGATGCCTCTTCTGTGCGCCGTGGGCATTTTCTGCTTATACAGAGACGCCTTTGCCCCTAGTTCCTGCATTCTGAGATCAAGAGCCTTGATTCGGTTTTTACCGGTTGGCGCAAGCTCATTCGCCGACTCGAGCAGATGGGACTCCTTCAGAAGCCGTTGCAAGGCGAGATCATTCTTCAGATTATCCGCATCCATAGCATCCTCCTCATCATCGTCGCTCTTTTCCTTCTTGGCCTTCTTTTTCGCCGGCTTCGGTTCTTCGGAATACGAGGGTGGTTTCGAGGTCTAGTAAAGGCGAATTAGCAAAGAAACCATGACAGCACACGCACATTTCGTAGACATACCATAAACGCCTTACGCGCCTTCTTATCCAACAAATCCTGGCTCTTGATATCGCGATGCTCAACCACCTCAACCGGAGCCTCGTCTTCCTCTCCGGAGAGACCATCCCAATCAGAGCCCGATTCAGATCCCTCCTCAAAATCCTCATCCTCACTGTCTTCTTCATCCGACTCATCACCACGAGCTACCTGGCCCCCAGGCACCTCCAACGGCTGAAACTGCGCCTCAAAGAATTTGCGAAAAACATCCGTAGCAGAAGCATCAGTCGTCTCAGTCTGTGGCGTCGTCTTCTTCTCCTCCTCCTCATCCACCTTCGTAGTCCTAGAGACAACAGCAGCCTCTCTCTTGCGCTTTCCGACCATTTTCAATTCCTTGTGCTGCTGCTATAAACCAAACAATAAAATGCTGAACGACCAAACCACTCGTTCCGGCGGAAAAAAATAATGCGCGCGATAAGTGACGACTTTGCCGTGAAACTAACTGCTTATGTAATTCACTCCATACTGCATGTTTCCCATCACGTGTAGATAAGATAACCCGCGCAACCCCTCGTCGGATTTCCACAAAACCGTGGGGGGAATTAGATAGAGTCATTCATTCATTCACGACAGTACTGATCAGACACACGAATTGAGTGACTTGTGGTGGATCCGTCAGAGGATATTTCCATCAAAATGACCAAATTCCGTCCCTGCATTGATTTACACTCCGGCCAGGTGAAGCAAATAGTGGGCGGAACGTTGAGCAGTGTTGCGGCGGATTTGAAGACGAATTATGTGTCGAAGTTGCCGGCCAGTCACTATGCGGAATTGTATAGGAAGAATGATTTGAGAGGTGGACATGTTGTTATGCTCGGTCCGGGCAATGATGAGGCTGCTAAGGAGGCGTTGAGGACTTGGCCTGCTGGGTTGCAGGTTGCGGGGGGCATTACGGATCAGAATGCGAAGTATTGGGTTGAGATGGGGGCTGAGAAGGTTAGTTCTTTCTCCTTCTTCTTTGGGGTTTTGGGGTTGGGTTTGTGGGTGTGGATGGATGAATTGGGGGTTGGGGGTTGGGTGTTGCTTTGGTTTGGAGGTTGTGTAGAGTGTGTTGTTGTGCAGTGTAATGGCTAATGTTGCAATTGCAGGTTATCATCACATCGTTCCTCTTCCCGGACGGCAAGTTCTCTCTTGAAAGGCTGCAGTCTGTTCTTGTTGCGCTGGATGGTGACAGGTCTAAGCTGGTCTTGGACCTGAGCTGCAGGAAGAAGGGCAACACGTGGTTTGTGGCTATGAATCGCTGGCAGACGATTACTGAGATGGAGATTACGCAAGGTAAGCATGCAGTCTTGGTCTTGAATTGAAGGTTTTGTTGTTATGGCTTTGCTTTCTCTGTTCTCTTGCTGTGATTACAGTCATTGTATGAATACAACTAACCGAAGCAGAATCAATTGCGCTCTTGGAGCCCTACTGTTCCGAATTCCTCATTCACGCTGCAGATGTCGAGGGTCTGCAACAGGGCGTTGATGAGGAGCTCGTGTCTAAGCTGTCCCAGTGGTGCACGATCCCTGTCACCTATGCCGGAGGTGCTCGGAATCTCCAGGATCTGGAGAAAGTTCACGTCAGCAGTCAAGGGAAGGTGGATTTGACGATTGGAAGTGCATTGGATATCTTTGGTGGATCTGGGGTAACGTTTGATGAATGTATAGAATGGAACAAGACGCATTAGGGCGTGGTTGTTGGATTGAAGAGATGATGGTTGTGGGTGAAAATAGACATGAGACATGGCAGATGATGTATATATATTTCAGTTAAGAACATGATCATTGAGGACATGAATGAAACCAATACTACACTACTTCTACTTAACACACCTCGCATATTCAAGAAACAACATCTCACAAGATCGAAAATACCCCCTTATTCTACACTATAAGTTGAAAGACCCAATCCCCTGACGGGACAAAGTATAACCATCAAATGCAACACCATGACGCGGACAACAAGTCTCGACACACAACCGCCCGCCCCAAAACAGCTTAGCGCCAACACACCGGAGGTCTCCACCGGCACCTGCGATCCTCGACATCATCCAACGACATCAACGGCCTCATCCCCCTCTCTTAACGGCAGCCTGGACAGGCAATCTGAAAGTTCCATCACTCTTTTATCTGCGTCAGCGACCAATACATCCATCCCATCGCTAGTCCGCAAATCTCATCGCATCTCATCGGATAACGGGTCTCACCATCAACCACCCGAGCCGCGCCAGCCAGCCAGCCAGCCACTCCCGACTCTCCCTCCTCCCTCTCTCAACCCCCCGAAGTTGCTCCAGCCTTATCACACCATACAAGATGAAGCCCGTCGTCTCCGCTCTAAACGCATGGTCCTGGTACGTCCACAATACACCCACACAGCGCGACTCCAGAACCAGACCAGCTAGCTAATACAAGGGACATTGATTGAAATAGTGTGGTCATCTCCGTCTTCGCTATCGTTATCCTCTCCGTTTTGGGTTCGCTATACAAGGTGCGTTTTATACTATATCAATCTTTCATTATCGCCTAAATAAAGGAGTATTCTGACAGAAGGGTCATGGAATAGAGCGAACACCCCGGTTTCACTGGCTCCGAAGGCGAACCTGAAGATGGCGCCGCGGTCGCAGCTTCGATTTTCACCGCCGTGTTGGTTTATATTGTACGTGTTTATCCCTGGGTTTTTATGTATATGGATTGGAGTTGTGGAGATAGAAAGGGAAAAAAGACAGCGGGAGAAAGAGAATGGATATGCTAACCCATTGATGACTGGTATATAGGCTTTCTTCGTGTTCTGCGCTTTCCAGGCTTACTTGCACATGAGGGCTCGGAGGGGCGGGGCTATATCGTTGAGTTAAAGGGTATTCTACATTGCTTTGCGATTTTGAGGTGGATTGCTGGCTTTATCTTGCTGGAGTAGGAAGAAGCGTATCGATGCAGATGCGGATGGACCATCGAGAGATGTACCATATATTCTATCTCAGGAGGGGGCATACTTTCCCTGGATGTAAGAGAAAGGGAAAGGAGAGGAAGGAATGTCGATATAGTCTGCGTGTGCTGTGCTACGTATGACAATCTGATCGTGGGAGGCTCACTCCATCCTCGCTTGCTTATGGTAAAGCCGGAGTGGTATTGGATTGATTATTATTAGCTCCTTCAGTTGCGATGTGATGTGATGGAATGGATGTTTGGATTGTTTGATCTTTTTTTGCGCCGTTCTTTTTTCTGGTGTATTTTGCGGGTTGTATATGTATATAGTCTTTGTTCGTATAGAACTTGTGTGTCCGCAGTTATGTTCAATCCATCATCATCATCCATCATGATATTTCACTGTTGGTTTGTTAATAGACGAATAGTAGCAGCGAGCGAAGTACTATCTGTAACAGAAAGGCTCAAGTAAGTACCAATACACATGTGACATGTATCATTCATCCTCATATAGTAGTAATAGTAGGCAAGCAAATCGGCTCAAGCGCCATATGTACAATGCAAGTTTCTCTAATCCCGCCCATTTTTGGTATATACCGATTTCGCTACTGCTCCCCTGAATAACAGTATAATGGAGAACCAACCCCGAGCAACGCCGCATGCAGATAACCTAAGAAGGACTTTTGTGTGTTTCGAGTATCGTTTGATGGTGTTGTTGCAATACCGCGCATCATTCATATTCATTAATGGTTTTGTTTTCTCTGATAGTGCTTAAAATTCCTCGTCTTCAATCGGGTCCAGCATCTTGGACATGTACGGTCCATCGAGAGTGTATCCCAGACGAGCATAGTAGCTGCGTACACCAACACCAGAAATAACACTGATCTTTGTGCTGCCGTGCTCTTCGCGAGCGATGCGCTCTGCTTCTTCCATGAGCAGGGTTCCGAACCCGCGGTGTTGGAACTTGCGCGGGTCACGTCCGTGGAGAGGAACAGCAGATCCGTACACGTGCAGCTCACGCACGATACTGGTCTGCTGACCGGTGAACTCGGGCCGGAAGGTGTGGGTTGGGCTGCACTTGCGCAGGCGCAGCAGACCGATCAGGATATCCTGCTTGGGGTCCTCGTAGGCGAGGAATGTCTCCCAGCCTCCGTTGGCCGTGTAGTCACGGCGGATCAGCTCGACTTGGGATGGGCGGATCTTGTTCTTGACTTCGTTGATACCGACTTCACGGGTACGTACGTCGCGGCAGGTGGTGCCAAAGTCCTTCATGCGTGCCAAGGCCAGTTCGCGCAGGTTGCCGTTCTCGACTCCCGAGGTCACCAGGGGCATGGGGATATCACGCTGGACTCGGTAAATACGTGTCCACGGGGGCACCAGAGCGAGGATGCGGGCAACCAGGTCGATAAGGGCGTTTGGTGTGTAGTTCTTGTAACGACCAGTCCTCCATAGCTCATAGAGACCAGTTCCACGAATGACCAGCGTGGGGTAGATCTTCAAACCATCCGTTCGGAAAGCCGGGTTCTCAAAGTACTCCTGGAACTGGAACAGGTCACGCTCCATGCCCACGTTGGGCAGATCCGGCATCATATGACTGACGACCTTGAAGCCGGCATCCTTGGCAAGCTTGAATGTTTCTGCGACGGCCGCAACAGTGTGACCTCTGTTTGTGTCTCTGGCGACATCCTCATACAGACTCTGGACACCGATCTCCAATCTGGTACATCCGTAGCGGAGCATACTGCTCAAATGTTGGTCGAGACAGTAGTCCGGTCTTGTTTCGATTGTGATACCCACGCACTTCACGTTACTCATCTCACCAGCCTGTACTGCTTCGTCGACATTGTCCGTCTGGTATCCACTGAGCGCGTTGTGCAGCTGAGCCACGAACGACTCACGGTAGTCCTCCGGAAGAGACATGAATGTTCCACCCATGATGATGTACTCCACCTTATCCACGCTGTGACCCAGAGACTTGATCTGGTCCACACGTCCTCTGGCCTGCTCAAACGGATCGTAACGGGCGCGGATCGCACGCATCGACGTCGGCTCATATCCGGTATATGACTGTGTAGAGTACTCAAAGTCGGAATCAGGGCCACCAGGGCAGTAGACGCAGATGTTTCCGGTGTAGGCGATATGGGGACAACGATGGGGTTTACTCATGACCGCGACGACCGCGATACCGGATGAGGTTCCTAGCAGGGGCTGTTAGAATTGCTAAGCGCAGGAAAGACAAGGCGCAGACATACTGATGGGCTTCGCAATCAACTTGGGAAGGATATATTTCTTGTAATGCTCAGGGACAGCCGCGATAATGGCCGTCAATGGGGGTTGTGTAGCCAGGGCATGCTTTTTGGCGACTTGACCCCGCAGTTTGTTGAGGTTGATATCTCTCTTGGGTTTCTTGGGATCGCGTTGCGCTTCATATTCTTGGATGAGGGCATTCGCAATATCGGAGCAAGCTCTCATAAAACGTTCATTCTCCGGGGGAAGTTTGGCATTTTTCTTAGACTTGGGAAGTGGCGGCATAGTCATTGTAGCGGTCGCCATCTTGAAGGAGGTGAAATGCACACCACGCGAACTGCGCGACGGGGCGAAAAAAAGAAAGACAAGTAGGAAAATCAATCAACCGGCCAAATCAGTAAAGATACACAATCTAGATCTGGATCTTGAATAGCCACTACCGAAAAAAGAAGGGTAGAGCTAAGATAATGTGGGGGAGATGATGCGGCGGAACAGCACAACGGCAACAGGAAAAAAAGAGCAGCGAGGCCGAGGGAGGCAACCGACCGCCCGTGACAACTCGGATCCGCTTAAAGCTTTGTCCCGAAATTCCCCAAAGCGAATCTGTCCGGCGCGTTTGAAACGGCTACTCTTTCCTCTCTTCTCTATCTCAACCACAAACTCTCCCTTGCACCTTCGTAGTGCTTCAACTTTCACACCTCTCCCCTCTTTCCGATCTCCCCTTACCGGGTTTCTTCCCCTCCCTATCAACCATGCAGGCCGTCCGCCGTAACACCGTCGCTGCCCTTCGCAATGCTGCTGCCACGCAGCGCCGGGCATACTCTGCCTCGGCCAGCCCGGCTTACGCTGAGACTGTGAACAACCTTCGCATTAACGGAGAGACCAAGGTTATCTTCCAGGGTTTCACTGGAAAGCAGGGAACGTACGTCTTTTTTTGCCCGATCCGCTGGGAACGCTGTTTATCATGCATGAGATGCTGACGTTGCTATTTTTCGTCTTTCCGCAGTTTCCACGCTGAGCAAGCTATCGCCTATGGTATTATCTCCTCCTACGTCTGCACCAATTAGATAGGTGTCTCCGGCAGTTTCACATGGGAAACTCACAACTTGCTAGGCACCAAGGTCGTTGGTGGAACCAACCCGAAGAAGGCCGGCTCGATGCACCTTGACCGTCCCGTCTTCGCCAACGTGAGCGAGGCCGTCAAGGAGACTGGAGCTACCGCTACTGCGCTCTTCGTCCCGTATGCTTCCGGCCGTCCTAATCGAGAATAGAAGGAACATTTGCTAATGATTGAGTCTAGCCCCCCCTTGGCCGCTAAGGGTATTGAGGAGGCCATCGAGGCCGAAATTCCTCTGGCTGTCTGGTAGGCAAAACTCTCTCGATGACGATAGAAGAGCCTAGCATGTGCTAACAACCGGGATAGTATCACCGAGGGTATCCCTCAGCACGGTATGTTTATTAGCCATGGCGTAGCGCCGACGATCTCTGCATGTTGTGTGTAGGACTGACCACCAATCAACCAGACATGGTTCGTATCACCGATATCCTGAAGACGCAGAACAAGACCCGTCTGGTGGGTCCTAACTGCCCTGGTATCATCGCTCCTGTAAGTTGCATCCAAAAACCACTAGGCGATCCTTCTGGACAGGGGTCAAGATGCTAATGATGAAATTTTCGGATGTGTAGGGCCAGTGCAAGATTGGTATCATGCCTGGATTCATTCACAAGCGTGGCCGTGTCGGTATCGTCTCCCGGTCCGGTACCCTGACCTACGAGGCCGTCAACCAGACCACCCAGGCTGGTCTTGGTCAGTCCCTGGTCGTCGGTATCGGTGGTGACCCCTTCTCCGGCACCAACTTCATCGACTGCCTGAAGATCTTCCTCGAGGACCCGGAGACCGACGGTATCATCATGATTGGTGAGATCGGTGGTAGTGCCGAGGAAGATGCCGCCGAGTTCCTCAAGGCCAACAACAAGTACAACAAGCCCGCCGTTGGATTCATCGCCGGCATTAGCGCTCCCCCGGGCCGTCGTATGGGTCACGCCGGAGCCATCGTCAGCGGCGGCAAGGGTGGCGCTGACTCTAAGATCTCCGCTCTTGAGGCGGCTGGTGTTGTTGTCGAGCGCAGCCCCGCTTCCCTGGGCAAGGCGCTGCTGAACGAATTCGTCAAGAGGGATCTGGTCTAGACGAATTGATAACAGTCTGCACGCAGGCGGAGACATACCCTTGAACCCTGCCGGTTCCTGGGCGAAACTCACTACTCTTATTCGCCCAGTATGGGCGGGGGTTTTTGACTTCTTCCCCTCCCCTCCATCTCTCTATCATTAGACGACTCCCTTTCGATGTCCGAGCCATGGCGGCCACACTGTACTTTTTGTCTCTTATATCTGGTCTCATTTTCTCTTTTTTCTCGTCGATATATCTCCTATGTTTAGAGATGCAAGGAAGTAATTAGGTTCACTTGTAAATTTGGTCTGAATTTCTTTCTTGCTTTGAAACTGATGTTGTAGTCGGAGTCATGATCTACATACACCGTAGTCATTGCAACCCACGGACTCCGTGTAGCAGAATCCTACAAAGTAGATTAATCTAGATGGAGTCTGGTACTACCCAGCACGGCAGGGTCCAAACCCAATAAAATGGAGTGAGTGAGTGCCAACGTGCAAGGCCCGCTTAGAAGCCTAGTGACTGAAGGATGGTTGCCTGAAGACTGACCAGACTGAACTAAACTAAACTAAACTAAACTAGCCTAGATGAGATGACTGAGGACACCCGGGAAACCTTCTCAATTCTCACCAAGCACATAGTTACTTGCAAGTTGCAACAAAACTAAACCGAATGGAATCGGCATATCGGACATACCCGGAATCCTCCCCAGCCAGTATGGCCGAAGCAAAAGGATAAGTCCATGTTTCGGGAATGTTGGGGCTTGGCACCGGGCCGGGAACGAAAGATCAACTTAACTTGATGAATATCCGATAGGATCAGATCATTTGCCGCTTCAAGCAGCCGTGACAGACAATCACTTCCATCATCATCATCATTATGAATCATTATTCGGCTAACCACAATAATAAAATAATATAATGATAATAATATACTTTGGCTAGAAAGCAAACAAGTTAATAAATAAGTGGGCTGTGTACATCACCTACTTTGTTTGGCTTTGTGAGTGAAATCTAGTGTCTGACCCTGTAAGGCCAATCAATCACATTTCTTCGTTGTTATCGTTCAAAGTTATTGGGAATGGGATTATGCAATCGTGCATGGCTGTCTGTAGTCCTGGTCTAGACTACTGTTACTACTGTGTACATACGTACTTTGGTTAGCTAGTTAAGTTAGTTAGCTAGTTAGCCGCGGCTTAGGGTCATTCATATCCCGGTATACTATACTATACTATACTATTGTCACTCAACTAATTAATATCCGTAGTCTTAGCTACCATCTTAGTTGCTTTAGTTTTTTCGGCCCAATCCAACGATGTGTGTGTGTGGCTTAGAAAGCTGAAACATCCCGTGTGTGTCCTAACTGCTCTGTCTGCATGCCGGTCTGTCCGTCGGCTTCCCGATGTTGCATTTTATTCTGGTGATGGCTTTCGGGTTGTGGGGGTAACCCTGGTTTCTAGGAATCGAGGTGGCTGAATTCATTTACTTGGTGGTAGTGGTGTCTAGTGGTGAGTACTATGAAGAGGGGGGTGTGCTTAACTTTCAATGATATACTTATACTAGTTAATGTTGAAGAAGAAATATCTCCATCCTATTGAAGGTTAATAACACAGGAGTGATATAGATTGATAAGTTTGATGATATGGTATAAATAGATAATAGTACTTTTTGTGTAACGCTCCTCCCTCCCTCCCTTCCACATTCAGTTCTATAGTTGAAAAGAAAATAAAATAGAAAGAAAGAAAGAAAGAAAGCAGGTTTACCGACTACCTTCCCCTCCCCCCTCTCATCCCGACGAGGAACCACCATACCGAGCAACCAAATCCTTTTGGTCGGCACCGGCAAGACAGGGATTCTACTCCCGTGTGCATTGCATTATTGTATTGCGTACTACTTCGAAAGCGAAGCGAACAGAAGAAAAGCGAAGAGGGGGGAAAGAGGCAAACGGGACACCTTAGCAAAAAGGTTGGTGAATAAATTAATTGCCCCTCCTTTCGGGCTGCAGCCAAGACATATAGGTGCAGGATTAGTGAAGAGTCATTAGTTAGTTTACTACTACTGTGTGCTTCGCTTACTGTGTAACAGGGGTCTTTATCTATCTATCTCTTTCTATTTATTTATTTATTTATTTAGTTATCTGTGTTTGATTTTAATCCTGTGAGTGGTTACAAACGGGCATATGGAAGTTTTGGAAGGATGATGGATGGATGAGGGAGGGAGGGAGGGGATGTCTCAGATATCGGCACGTCAAAGTACTTTTCAATGAGAATGATAGGCAGAGAATGTGTGAGAGAAGAGAGGGGAGAAAGATGTGTCTGCCAGGTCCCATGTGAAGAATACATATACGCTATACCGAGTATGTTAATTGATCTGATCTGCTGCTGCTGCTGCTCGAGCTCTGAAGATAAGAATGACGATGACAGAAGTGTTGTACGTGCGCAAACCTTGCGGGTACTACTACTACTACTACTACTACTAGTAGTATTAAAAATAGATGAAGTGCATATGTATGTGTATATTACTTTTGTGTTGCTGTTGTTGGAATAAATTAATTGTATCTGTAGTAGTGGTAGTGCTAGTTTAGGCCTATCAAGCTGCTACTGTAGACGTATACTAGTTATCTACAGTCAGTAGATGGCTAACTAACTAACTAGTATAGTTGTGATAGATTAGCGTATAGTGATATTGATGTGACGACATCCTACTGTGTACTAACTAGCCAAATGCACAGGTATGTCATGAATAACTGATAATCACCGAGTGCAGCCTAACCAACAATCGATACCTCCTGCAGTATGGCAGACAGACAGACAGACAAACAGATAGATAGATAGACAGGTCGAGAACAACAATCGACACTGCAAGATTTCTTCTCATTCTCTCGTGTTGTCTTGGCTTGCATACCCGAGCCTTGGAAGACAATCCCAACCAATTCCCCAATTTAGATAGTTGTTTCCTCTTTCTTGGGCTTTTCCGTATTCCTGGTCTTTTTTGTCTTGGCCTCAGGCCAAGATTCTTGGTCGTGTCGGAAGATAGTAGCACACTAAACCGAGAGAGTACAGTAATACAACAGATCATTCGGTATCTATCTACTACTAAATGTGTGGCAGAACCGGTTGTGTAAGCATGCAGCGAGGCATGCATGCATACATACATACTTCGCTCGGGCTGTGCAATATGACTGGTTCTCGGGTTTGGCCACAAATGGAGAGAGGGAGGGGAGCGGGATAATTACAGTAAGTTAGTTATTAAATTAATTAAACCTCGCTAAAGGAGAGAGAGAGAGAGAGTATGTGTGAGTTGACAAGGGGCACAAAAAAAGCTTTAATATATATCTTTTTGCTTCTTCTTCTTCTTCTTCTTCTCTCTACTTCATTTCTTTTTTCTGTTATCTGCAGGTCCTGACAGGTACTAAAAGTATGTAAGTGCATAATGACGGATTACCTACCTATCTACCAGTATAAGTAGTACTAGATGTAGAGTTTCTAGGCAAAGAAAGAAAGTGAAACGGAAGATACCGGATCGAATTGAGTTGGTTTGAACAAGGGCCGCGCCGTGATAACAATAACCTAGTTAGTTCTAGTCTCTCCCATTTTGATTTATTCATTCTATTTTTTTTTTTTTTTTTAATTCTCTTATTTATTTATTTAATTATACTTTTCGATTCTTTATTTTTATTACTTTTCTTCAGTCGTCGGCTCGCATCTTGTCTAGATCCCGATCTGGTCCAGAAGGTACTTACTTACTTATTTCCACAGTAATAGTAGTGGTACGTAGTGGTGGTGGTGGTGGTGGTGGCATTGAATACGAAGAGGCAGTCAATAAACTAAAATACTCACCCACTGCATGAATCATAAATTCTACGAAAGATGGGATGGATGGATGGAATATATCTTCACCGTCTCAACACAACAACACATAATCCAACACAAATCAACACAATACAACACACACCACCTCAAACATCAGCCATCCGAACCACCTTTGCCAAGAAAAGAAACAAGAAGACAGGACTGGACCAGCCCCAAACACAAAAACTAAACAGTTTCTACTCCCGTACGCCTCCCGATTGACCGCCCGTCTCAAGTGGCGGCCGCCGGCGTAGATCATCGCCTCCACTTTGCAGGGAACTTTAACCAGTCGGAATTGGTGATTCGGGTAGAGAGGGACTCAGAGAGGGGGGGAGGTCTGAGTCTGAGCCTGAAGTAAATAGTAGATAAATAAATAATAACTTTCCGTGAAGTTACTTACTACTGTTACTACTAGTTGGAGAAATATCTCTGCTGAGCCACCCACTAGTCTGTATTTCATCGTAGTTAGTTTGTAGTATAGATACTCCGTAGATATTTAATCCTTTTCTTGCCATGTCTTCAAGTTGATTTAGTTATATAGTAGTGATGCCCAAATAAATAATCGTAGAAAAATAGTGAAGATAAGAATATTTCAGTTTAATTATGATAATCCGCACACTACTGCCGGATCACTTGGTATACGATGATCATTCTAAAAAGAAAAGAGAAAAGAGAAAAGAGAGGGGCCGAAAAAGAAGAGGAAAAAGGGACGTTATGGTGTGCTTGGGACCCCTGATTTGCTTGTTTAGTTCGCGGTTCCGGCGCTAGTGCAGGACGACGCAGCGAGGATGGATTTGAAGGAATGGGTTATGGGTAGTAGTTTTAGTGCTGATTTAGTAGTAGCGTTTTAACCTTCTTATCAAGGAAGAATTAGGGTGTGCTCTTGGCACAAGTTCCTTTTTTTGTTGTTGTGAGCCTTGGCATGAGAAGTTGTTGTTGTTGTTGTCGCTTAGAAGGAAAATAGGGAGAGGAGAATATTCGGTGAAATATGTAGTACTCGTTCGGTTACATAGTAAGCATGACTGATGGCAGAGGAAATTGTTCCGTTGTCGTTGTTATCTATCGAATTTGATTTTCGGGGGGGTTGATTAACTGCTACTAGTGAGGTTAGCTCTTCAGCACAGTTGCTGTCGAACAGTTAGTAGTGCTGTTAGTAGTAGATAGTAGTAGTAGTAGAACGGAGTCCCACGGAGGAAGAAGGAGAAAAGTTGGTGGAGATCCAGTTCAAGGTCTCATCTTGCTCCATCCGCGATCTACGTCGTCAACCACACTATTGCGATCAATCAGTCTCAGACCCTCTTGCTCTGCGTGTTCCGACACTCCATACACCTCCCTAGAGTCCCTACACTATCCGTTTTCGTGATTTACATGCATTGGTGCCTCATATCCTCACGGCATCTTCGTCATCACTTTCTATTATTATGCATCTCACCCTGGTGATTCCCCCCATCCTGTATTTTCTTTGCTTCACTTCTACTATCATCCTGTTTGCGCAACTACTCCTTTTTCACCCTATCCACCACCCCTGATGGCAATTTCTACTTGTCTCATATTTAAGCTTACCATCTGTTACGTAGACCTCCCGCACTGACTCGATCAGGTGCTCATTGGCTGTGGAGTTGTGGTTGGCGATTCTCCCGTGGGAGAGCTCCCTCAAGGTGTCTTGGTATAGCTTCACTCCACCCCCAATTCCGCAATCTGCAGCCACGGTGGAACCAGCCCAGCGAGGCTGGCCAGCTTGTCAGGGATCCATCCCAAGAAAACTCGTTGTCTGGGCGTCGCACTCGATTTTTTTGGTCCTCGCCTCCCATGCAATCATACTTCCACACCCCCCCCTTCTTAGTGCGTATGGGCCTGATGTAGATCCCCGAGATCCATACCAACCCACTACACTTGAGCAGTTCGCCAATCAGGCTGATCTCAGATTGCTCATACTGGCGCGCGTGCGTGCTCCCTGTTTCCTACAACCACTCCTTCTAAAGGGGGGGGGGGATAGGGACCCTGGCGCCCTGAGTCGTCAATTGATGACTTGCCTTGCCGTCTCGCGTTGCATCGGGCCTCTCCGTGTTGATCACGCTTAGCTTCTGCGCGGGAGACAGCCTTCTCCGTCAACACATGTGGGAGATGTTGGCTGAGAAGAGTCGACGGCCTATCTACTCCATACCATGTAGCCCAACGCTCCGCCACGGCGCCACTGAATAGCCTGCTCAGCTCCCTTATCACGGGCTCCGCTTCCATCTAGACCCTTGCGCATGACAGGCGTGCCCGGTCCTTCACACACACCATTCGCTGGAAATCTGTATGCTAAGTTGACTAAATCCGTCAGCTCTCGAGGTGCAGGCGCTAGTCGTAGTCCAGGATGGCCTGGAAAGCATGCTCGTTCTGGAATTTCATCACCACGCCGGGCCCACGTCATGTATGCAGATCTTGGTAGCTCCGCCCTTTCGCCCTTTTTAATTTTTTTTTGTTTCTGTTTCTTCGTCGGCTGCCCGACGGCTTGGACTCTCTCGGATGTGACCTAGACTACTGGTCGCCAAGTAAGACCGGCCGAAGAGATACTCCTAAACCCACGTCTCCGTTCATACCTTGGCGATAACACCGGCTCTTGCCACCCACATTTACCCTCTTTAGGAAGGTCATGGATGATGGATAGCCCCCCGTCTGTCCAAGATGCTCCGCAGTGGAGCAATCCTGCATCTGCTTTTTAATCGAGTTTTCGAAGATGTTTTGGCCCAGTGCCAGATCAATTCCAAAACTCCGGAACATAAAGTGCATTGGCCTCGCACTTCCGGGCTTGCAATCTCAGCTTTGATATTCCTCCCCAAGGTGGTTCACAGATTGCCAACGTGCTTCGAGGCTGGCCCCGAGTCAAATCAACAATCATGTCTTCAACCACATCTTCATCAAGATCAGACCTTGAAAAGGTCCCCGTACCACAGGTCACCCCTAGAGACAATGACTCCGATAAGGGATCTCTCTCTCCGGAGCCCTCGACCCTCGAGGCTCAGTCGTCCGAGAAGCCACCGCATCATATCTTCACACGGTCTCGCAAGCTGCAAATGGTTTGCATCGTCTCCCTCGCCGCCATATTCTCTCCGCTTTCGTCGAACATTTACTTCCCTGCCCTGGATGATGTGTCAAAGGTGAGTACCTCGGTTCCATGCCTTCCTGGACCCGGCATATTGACTGTATCATGATAGTCCCTCAACATCAGCATGTCGCTCGCAACTCTCACCATCACCGTGTACATGATCGTCCAAGGCCTCGCCCCTAGCTTCTGGGGTTCCATGTCAGACGCCACGGGTAGACGGCCTGTCTTTATTGGAACATTCGTCGTTTACCTCGTAGCCAATATCGCTCTTGCCGAATCTAAGAACTATGGTGAGCTCATGGCCTTCCGAGCCTTGCAGGCTGCTGGTAGCGCGGCCACCATCTCAATCGGTAAGAATGACCTCACAGCCTATCATAGCATCTTTCTAACCATGATTAGGAGCCGGAGTGATTGGTGATATCACAAACTCGGAAGAAAGAGGTAGCTTGGTGGGTATCTTCGGTGGAGGTAAGAATACCCCCTTTGCTCGCCGGATGGCTAAGCTGACAGAATCAAGTTCGCATGCTTGGACAAGGAATCGGGCCGGTTTTCGGCGGCATCTTCACCCAGTATCTCGGATATCGATCTATCTTTTGGTTCCTCACGATTGCCGGGGGCGTGAGTCTCCTGTCCATTCTGGTGCTCCTCCCGGAGACATTGAGGCCAATTGCTGGAAATGGAACTGTGAAGCTCAATGGCATCCATAAACCCTTCATCTACTCGATCACCGGCCAGAAGGGGGTTGTTGAGGGAGCGCAACCGGAAGCGAAGAAGACCCAAAGCAGCTGGAAATCGGTTTTCGCTCCTTTGACATTCCTCGTCGAAAAGGACGTTTTCATCACTCTGTTCTTTGGAAGTATCGTATACACAGTGTGGAGTATGGTGACATCCAGTACCACCGACCTCTTCAGCGAAGTGTACGGCCTGTCATCCCTGGATATTGGACTTACTTTCCTGGGCAATGGTAAGTAATATGATCCTCTCTGACACTTGGTTTGAATGATCGCTCATGCATCGATAGGCTTCGGATGCATGTCTGGCTCTTATCTGGTCGGCTATCTCATGGATTACAACCACCGCCTTACCGAACGCGAATATTGCGAGAAACACGGCTACCCGGCAGGCACACGTGTCAATCTGAAATCACACCCCGACTTCCCCATTGAGGTTGCCCGGATGCGCAATACCTGGTGGGTGATTGCCATCTTTATCGTGACCGTTGCTCTGTACGGTGTGTCTCTGCGGACACACCTGGCGGTTCCTATCATTCTGCAGTACTTCATTGCGTTCTGCTCAACAGGGCTTTTTACTATCAACAGCGCTCTGGTCATTGATCTTTACCCAGGTGCTAGCGCTAGTGCGACAGCAGTGAACAATCTGATGCGGTGCCTGCTTGGAGCTGGCGGTGTGGCTGTCGTGCAGCCTATCCTTGACGCCTTGAATCCGGATTATACTTTCCTCTTGCTTGCCGGCATTACCCTCGTGATGACTCCGTTGCTGTATGTCGAAGATCGATGGGGCCCTGGCTGGCGACATGCCCGTGAAAGGAGACTCAAGGCCAAAGCCAACGGAAACTAGGGAGGAAAAGGGCTAAAAATGGTGTAGTGGGACTGGTGAAGTAGATGTTTGATTCTTCTCCACACATTCTTGATTCGGGTTTTCTTTTAGCGGCATTTGGCGATACCACTGTTTTACAAGCGATACCAGTTAGATTTATAGAAGAATTGATCATTTCCATCTTTATCTCGCTGTTGTTCTCTTATACTTTGGTAGATGCATAGATGGGTGGAGGAAACAAGGATTGACATTGTGGTTGACATAGTATGATTCAAGTGGAGATGGAAGTATAAAGTGGAAGTCTGTTGTTTAGTGTTGAGACTAGATTAGACGTGGCCGATGAAGTCACGGGGCTCAGCTTAGATAATCTAAATGCGGCTGAAGTTATGAACACAGGTCGGTCAAGAAGAACATATCGCCGCAAAAGGGTATAATAATGGCTATTATAGAAATAAGAATGCTAGAGTAACTACCCCTAGTTTAGGAGCCAGCACATAGTTGTTATAAGGGTACCTATCTCTATCTATTTGGGGGAACACGAGGAGGTCGGGAGTAGTTACTTGTTTGTTTGTGACGAGGAATGCTAGTTAGGTAAGCACCACGTGATGCGTGACCCAAACAAGCGCCCGGTCGTTGCTTGAGGAACCAATTTCTCTGTTTATTCTCCTTCGAACACCACACTTCGACCTTCTGGACACTGTCGCTATGAGCCTTCCATAGCCAACCTGTTTCAGCTCGACAACCCCTCTTGATGCCTTGACGACAACTCATCAACTTCTAGCTCCGTTGGTTCACGTTCTTGCTGTCCTTCTTGCGGTGTGGACCTCGTGCGGTCGAGGGTGGCTCCGTGAAGGATCAAAACAGACGCTATTGCCCGTGGTTACCGATCGTCTCTCACCCAGCAACAAGGAAACCCAGACAGACACTGCACAGCGTAGCAGATCCTAAAAGAGAAAGAGATGCCTCCTGAGATGGGTAAGAAGCTGCCTTCCTTCCTGCAGGCGACGTGTCTGCTTCCATCTGACCTTCTCCGCACCTGGAGACCTTGATTGCCTTCCCTCTCCATCTGCTGTACGTTGGACTGCCGGCTAACTTGCAGGAACCGCAGCCCGAGCGGCCTCCCAATCATCGAGTGCTGCTTCCCAAGCAACCCAGATAGTAGCAACTCACAGTCGCCCCGGGACGGCTGATCTCATGAGATCACGCTCCGAAACCGTAGTGTCCCGCAACAGTCGTCGCCCGCGGTCCAGAGGCTCGACGGCTAGCATCCACTCCAACACGACCCAGCAGACCCAGGACCAACAGCTTGCCGATGGCTTTTCCCAGTTCCTGCCCACCCAACCCACTGCTGGTCACAATGTTTTCGGCGGTAACCCGGAGGATATCATCATGCGATTTGGCCAACAATTGTCGCACCCAGTGAACGGAGCGTCCCTCGACCCGACCATGCAGGATGCTCACCATGCTGTCATGCCCAGGGCAGAGGAATTTCCTAGCCATGCAATGCATAGTCACCATATGTCACATCACTCCATCCCTTCTGGTCTATCAAGCCATGGATTGGCGGGCGTGCCGATGCCCCAATACACAGCTATGTATGACAGTGGAATTGAGAACCATGTGCCTGAGCATGTACTGGAAGAAAATGATATCTCCGAGGCTGGCGCGAAGAAGAAGAAGGGGTCCAGCTCGTCGCTAGCCAACGATAACGAATTGCGCAAACTGCTCCGCCAATATGAAGGGTATTCGCTGAAGCAAATGGCAGCCGAGGTCTTGAAGCATGAAGGGGCTGGAGGCAAGGCTGAGAAAGTCAAACAAGTCTTTGCGATGATTTGGTAAGGCTTGTCTATTGCAGTTTCCTGCATAGGAATGTTCGCTCACAACAGTCTAGGCTGAAGGAGAACTGCCGCAAGAGCAGCGGCTCAGTGCGCCGCGATCGCGTGTACTGCTGCTATGCAGAGAAGTGTGGAACAGAACGAGTATCAGTTCTGAACCCTGCTTCCTTCGGCAAGCTTGTGCGCATTATCTTCCCAAATGTGCAGACTAGAAGACTTGGTGTGCGGGGCGAATCGAAGTATCACTATGTGGACCTCACTGTCATTGAGGAGAAGCAGCAGAAGCCACCACCCCTCAATCCACAGTTGCCATCGAACACGAACAGCGCAGCAAATGTCACTGAAACCAAAGTTGATGACATGATGCAGAAGAGGTGCGTCACGTGATGGACTCATTCACGGATTCAAGTACTTACATAGATCACAGTGTTAGTGTTGCGCCACAGCCTCCTGCAGATACTGCTGTATTCCCTTCGCCTACGACATCTTTTGCCCCAAAGTTCACTGCAACCCCATCTACTTCGGGATGTGACTGCCAATCTTCATCTGAGTCTCACACTGGTTCATCCATCAGACTTGACAATATGGCAAGCACATCAGGAAAGTTGATACACCAAATGCTTCACCTACCGTCTTCCGACTCTCCCCCAATGGACAACGAATCTCTGCAGCTTCCTGATATCAGTGACTATCTACCAGCCAATACGGATTCGAAGATTGCTGCGGCTCTTGCGGCTCTCTACCGTTCACACTGCATCTCCGTCATCGACAGTTTCAGATACTGCAAGGAAAGAAACATGCTACGATATTTCTCCGCCTTCCATGGAACTTTGACCGTACCAGTCCAGAAACTCCTAACCCACCCGAATCTTGCTCCATGGATCAAGGAATGTGACTGGATAATGTACCAGAAAATGATCGCTTTCGTTGCGCCACTTACTACGCAGGTCGTTCCCAAGCTCGTGTTGGATGCTTTCAGCTCGATCTCTCAGAAACTTACAGCCCATATTGCCGATACGTTCAAGTCCCAGCCACTGCATGTATCGGAGGCAAGATTAATCCCGGCTCATATCTTCTGCAACCTTCTGAAGCACATGCTCGATGTGAATCAATCTGCAAACGCGGCTGCGGCTTGGTTGTGCCATCCCGACAACAGAAATCAGATGTGGTTCGACTTCAAAACCTTGGTGGATCCCCAGGAGATGATCGTGAAGGCGAATATCCCACGCTGTTCCGAACTTGCAACAGCACTGGTATTGAAGCACGATGTTCGGGCTTTGCTTACTCCTGTTGCGGACATGAATCCTTCTGCTGCCCTCCCGTTCTACACCCGGCCAGATACCGATGAAGACATCCAGGCACACAAGTACCCCGTGGAGTCGGCTGCGGGAGATGACTACAACTTCCCAGACAAGTGGATATCATTCATCCTCAACCTACCTTCCGTATTCCCCCATCACAGTACGCAGTGTATCATCGAGAAAGTCGATGCTTTATGGGATTGCATACTACGACGGTTGACTCTAGGTGGCGCCCAGAGTTTCAGCGCCTGGTGGATGACTAAGGTTTTCTTCCATGAAATGATGCTATGGCAGGCCGAAAAAGGAGGATTTATGCGTTACACCCCAAGCACCTTGCACTACGCAACCCTGAGCTCCAACCAGCAGGGGCCAACCAGCTTCCTCATGAAACCGTCTAACTGCCCAGTGCCGGACAAGGATGAGTCCCAACACGCCGCTCATTCGAGGACAAGGTCGGCCGCCAGTCCAGCATCAGCGGAGAGTCTTACGCAAACGCAGACACCAATGCATCGCTCGCAGATGGAAGCCGAATCGAACCAGAACACATTGGAAAACGAGAAGCCTAGCGGTGTTTCCGATAGCATGGCTGGTTTCCAGGCTCCCAACAATGATGATAGCGCCATTGACCTTGACGATGATTCGATGCTCATGACTGTTGGTAAATATGGTGATATGATGGTCTCTGACCCAGCAGATGCTGAGGGAGATGTCGTCGTCATATAATTTACCTTCACATATCCATTTGAATTTTGTTCTTGGAAAGAAAAAAAACCCGTTTTCTTTGCTTATGGGCGGAGTTGGATCTTTTTTTCCCGGAGTACTATTTGGCTTGATCACTATTTACGTCTATTTCAGAGGAAAGCTCGGCGTTCGACGATCTTTGCACGAGAGACGAGAAATGACAGCATCGATTCGAGATACGTTGACCTGCAGCAATGCTGTCTGTGCAGGTTGACGATCGTACAAATCTAATAGCGGGTTGATCCTGCTAATTTTTCATATTTTGTTTCACTTCACGCTGTGGCTGCAGATGACCGAGGCCCGTCTTTGTACATATGTTTCGGTCTGCCGACGATTCTCAGGTTATTGTCGTCGGGATGCCATTCTTCCTGGCGCCTCCTTTTCCTACGCTCATTTTAATACCTTTCCCTCGTTTTCATTGTTCTGGCCTGGTTCATTCCAGGAACAGCTAATAACGACAACCAACGTCTATGGAAATCCCCAACTTGCTAAATATCTACCTGCTTTTGGTTGGCCTATCCGGTCGTCCTTCTGCTATGGGACTCGACATACGTGCACATTCGTTCCATGTGTTAATAGCATCTTGGGCCTGGTTTCTCTCAAATCATGACACTCTGATCTACCCTAGACAGGGTCTTTCATGCCTAATCACACATTCCCACCTTCGTCACTCATTTCACATGACGGCTCAGTATACGAGAGCTGATCTCCTACTCTCCTTCCTTCTTACTGTGATTTACTCCACGCGGAAAAGGGCGCAATGCTAGTCTGGGTTTCGTTGGATGATGACTTTGCTTGTATTTTACTTCTGCTGGATTGAGTGATCTTGACCTCCTTCCTGTGTTTTTCTGTTCATGGCCTTTGACGATTGATGTATTGAGTGATAAATAGCCATTTCTTTTTCAAATTTACAATTTCTGAAATATGATCGCAGGTGTGATAGTAAGATAGATAGTAAGTACATTCTAGGCATTCCATTTCGTTGGAATGAATTACTACCTAAAGAATAATATGATGTCCATTTGTCATTTGAGAATGGTCAGATGAGGACATGCAATGGGTTCTTGGGTTAATGGGTCATGAAGTAATTCAGCATGTGATGTGAGGTGATGAGAGAAGGCATCAAGCAATGACCAGTAATTTCAGGGATGGTGAGTTCGTGTTAGCAGCCCGGTTTGAGCACTCGAAAAGAGAAAAAGAGAAAGTTAAGAAAGACACCATGAGATGATAGTCAATGGACGCCATACTCCATATACACCAAGCATTATGTTCCATTCCGTGCAGTTCCGTTCCGAGGTTTCGCAATGTGCATTCGTCTAGTTGTGCTGGTTTGCTGTATTATTGTATGCAAGTGAAATCTACAGTAGCAGGCCCAGAGAACATTCTGGTATGATTTGGTTCAGAAGAAGGAAGAGGGGGGAGGAGAAAAAGGAGAAATCCCACTGGTTTGGTTTACCTGAAACTCAAAGCAGGGAAGAATCTGGTCCCGGCGTAGCCGTAGGCGATGATGCTTTGGATGTCTATGTTTTTGCCGCTGTGAGGACTCCATAGTTTGACGAGGATATATCGTCCTGAGCTGTATTGGATGGTTAGGGATTGATGTATACCTATTGAGAGAAGCATGACGGGAAGGAACGTACGGAGGGGGATCGAATTTGATGCTGACCATGCTTTTATTGCGCTCAATGGAAAAGCGAGCATGTGGTTTCATTAGTTGAGGAGACTCTGAGCCAAGTGTGCCTTCAGGGCGCAGACCTGGTGTTGGCATGGCTAGGTATGGTCGTCGCCTTGGTTGGCCCTCTCGCTCTGCGACATAGCGGCGACGCATAGCTCGAATCCGTCGTGATAGCTCTCGCTGACGTCGTGTGAATGTGCTGACATTTGAATCATCGTCGCTTAAGCTCATCTCACTGTCCGAGCATATTGTGTTGTCCTCGTCCATCCGCCCTATGGGCATGCTATCGGTATCCGTAAGGGAAATCAGGTCGTCGTCGTCCATATGGTCAAGACGATCATGACGTACGTCGGACTGCGCACTGTATTCGGTTGTGACTCGAAATTCAGACGTGGGGTCTGGCACATTGCTAGCACTAGGTTCTACAGCGCTGGGGTCATCAGTACTATCTGATTCTGAATCCGAGGAGGGGTCAATAACTGGGCCCCGACCTAAGCTTTGCAGCGGAGGTCGATATGCATTTAGATACTCCTGGGATGGTTGCATTCCGCCGGGTAAATGCCGCGCGAAGGGCCGAGTTGATTCCCATTGCACTTCGAAAGCAGCTGTACGGGCTAGGACTTCATCACATGACATTGATACGAAAACCATGCCTTCCCGGATCCTTTTGAAATTGTCAGTGATAGTCTGAGATAGAGTATCTAGCCCAACTGAAACGTACGGGGAGTTGTAGCCTGATTTTGGCGCTTTGATTACAATCTTCTTCAGGCAGAACGGAGACTCCCCCTGGTGCTTCAGAACAAGATTGCAGCGATCAGATTTCGTACAGTATACAGAAGCGTCATTGCGAAGAATGTTCTCTGGCCATGAGCTCTCGCCATGCGGCTCATATCTTCCCCCATCGCAGTTAGTCAACTCCATCCTGAGTGCCCCAGGCACCACCTGGCCATATTGACCGTAGCGGAAGCCCTGTAATCCTTCTCTATTATCATCTGTGTCAAGCTTTCGACGTTTCGTCCTTGCACGGTCCAACTGGTGTTCATCTTCTACCTGTTGAGGCATGGCGGTGGGAGAGTCTAAGTGAGGGACCGGCGTATCTAGGAGAGAGGAAGTAGTGGAATCTCTGGGCCGCCTCAGACGATTAGGTCGGTCGCTACCCCTACCAGCTCGGGGCCTTGGAGTTCTGCTATCAGAACGTGAGGGATCGGAAGCGCTTTCGTCTGGGTTCGCCACTGGAACACTCAAAGGCTGCAGTCTTGGTACTCCTGGACGCGGACGCACCGGGGGCCCTGAGCTGCCCGTAGTGGCACGGCTTTGTCTCGTTCGTTCCTGGAGCTGTTGCATATGTTGGTCGAGGGCTGCCCTGGCTTGCTCAAAGCTAGAACGGTCCCAGAAGCGAGAAGAGCGGTAATCGTCCATCTCTTGGTTTAAAGTCTCCACAGCACGGGCGAAGGCGAGGTCACCGCGGTTACGCTCCGATGTTAATAGCTCCCGGAGATGCTGTAAACGATTCAGGGGAGGCTGCTGCTGCTGTTGCTGCTGCTGTTGTTGTCGCTCATTGGTTCGAGCTCCACGAGAAGGACGGCGAGAGGCAGGAGGATAGTCGTAATTTCCCGACTACAGTGGTACATGCTAGTCAATAGCTGCAGCAAAGCGGGGTGGGATGTGGATGCTTAGGCCGTGTAAGGTTTCTATTGGTAGCGGAGGGAAGTCTAGATTCACAAACGTACCATCCTGTGAGAGTGAGTTGTTCCGTGATCAGTGGGAGTTGGCTCGGGGCACCGGGAGGGAGAGGCAGTGAGCGAGCGGAAGCGGGAGCGGAGGCCGAGTAACTAACTATACCGCGATTATGAGGCAATGACGAGGGACACGATTAAGAAAAGCAGCTAAGCAGACGAGAGGGAGGCAGAGAAATGCCACAGCGGTGACATGGGAAAGGCCCTCGAACAAGAAATGAAGGCTGATGACTGGGTGGTAAGAAGGAGGCGAGATGGTTGAAATTGGGAGGATGATTGATGAGGGGGTGAAATGATAAGTTAAGTTGATTTGGTTGATTTCCCCAAAAGCATTCATTCAATGGCCCATGCACGTGATGATGCTGGGGTAAGCTCTCCTCCTGCCTATTACTATTACTACTCTCCGCTTCCCTTCTTTCACTCTCTTCGTATAAGTACAATCACTCGTTCACCTGATTCCGTTTTCAAGAAGACCCCGTTGCCGACGGCGAAGATACATGCAAGTCCCACAACTGCTGGCCGATCCGCCTTTATCCGCTACTTTCCATTCGCCGTCTTGTGTCCCATACTTCTTCCCCTCACTCTTCTCCGGCACTCCGACATAGACCAGAAAGAAAGCTTTCGCGAACAGTCGCAATGGAGCCACAGCCCGATCCAGCTCAGACTATCAGCGCTGGTAAGAAGATCATCTCATCTCCGATAAAAATCTACTATCCAATGGAAACCGACGTTTGACTTGTCCATGGAACGCAATAGACGAGATAGCTCTGTATGATCGCCAGATCCGCCTCTGGGGAGTTAAAGCCCAGGAAAAGTGAGCTCTCCCAACTAACTACAATACTTACCAACCCGATCAAGCTGACGGTAACTTCTCTATAGACTCCGATCTGCGAACATCCTCCTCATCACGTTTAAGGCGCTGGCGAACGAAGTTGCGAAGAATCTAGTATTGGCAGGCATTGGCTCCTTGACCATCGTTGATCATGAGGTGGTGACGGAAGAGGACTTGGGCGCGCAGTTCTTCATAAATCAGGAACATTTGGGTCAAAATGTGCGCTGTTCCATTCCTAGCAAGCTTTGTCCATATACTGATCGCAACGCAGCGCGCGCAAGCGGCAGCGCCCTCTGTCCGGGCCATGAACCCGCGTGTTCAGCTTCACATTGACACAGAAGACATCCACCTCAAACAGCCCGACTTCTTCGCCCAATTTGATATTACCATCGCGACCGAGCTTGACTTTGCTACCTACACCACCATAAATGCGGCCTGTCGCATCGCGAACCGCCCCTTCTATGCCGCCGGACTGCACGGATTCTACGGCTTCATGTTCGCCGATCTGATCTCGCACGATTTCGTCATTGAGCGGACCAAGTCCAACGTCCCATCCGCCACGCAGGAAACCCCGACCCGCAGTATCCTAAACATCACCACAAAGAAAGAGAACGAGAAGGTCATCGAAATGGTGACCAAGCGCGAAGTGTATTCCCCGCTGATCCTCGCCAACACCTCGCCACTTCCCGAGGAGTTCACCCGCATCGCACGCAAGCGCAAACAAGTAACACCTCTCCTCACCTGTCTCCGCGCATTATGGGAATATCAGAAATCATCCGGCGGCGCCCTACCCACATTCTCCCACCAAGACCTGGAACTCTTCACGAAGCACGCTCGCGACTGTCACCAGGAACTCAAGCTCGACATCACCACCCTGGACGCCGGGTTCCTGCGCACCTTCCTCCAGAACCTGGGGAGTGAACTGAGCCCCGTAGCCGCATGCGTAGGCGGCTATCTCGCCCAGGACGTGATCAACGTCTTGAGCGCACGAGAACACCCCCTCCAGAACATGCTTCTCTTCGATGGAGAACGCTCCGCCGCTCCCATCTACCCCTTACATCCATTCTTCCCTCCGGAAGTTGAGAATGCCGTTCCACCCGTGGTTCCAGTTGTCCAAGCTATCCCGTTGGATGGCGAGCCAGCCCCAGCACTTTCAATGCCCTCCCGCTAAGTTGCAGACGGCAGTCTACTCGATGAGGAGTATTGCATCTCGACCTTTCTTTCTTTCTTTCTTCCTTCCTTCCTTTTCTCTTCCTTTCTGCATATCGGCATCCCTGCTTGGTGGGGGGATCCGCTTACGACGTGTACGATAGATCTGATAACACGATTTCGATATCTTCCGGGGGAATTACTCAAAATAAAGCCATCTAGATTTCTTTCTTATTTCTCTCCATAAATAGGCCACTCGCATTAGTGTTAGGAATTGATGAACATTACACTGATAAAGAAGTATGGTATTAGCTTATATTTCAAGCCTAATCAGGCACAAACATCTTAAAACCAAACCCAATCAATATCAACGCCAAACCCCATAGCTACAGCGAGCTAGAAGACTACATAGTACCAGAGATCTCTGCATACAATACGAACCAAAAGAAGAAAATGAAAAAGAAAAATGGAAATAATATATCCGATATCTCAACGATCTTTTGAAAAAGAAAAAATAAGAAGAATATATAAGAAACACCCAATGCACACTCTAAGGAGCCAAATTAATGCGTCGTAGCTGCCGTCCCATTAGCAACCAAAGGAGAATTCTCCTCGTCCTCAGTCTTCCTCGGACCCATGGCGTGGGTGTCCTTTGCGTCATCCTCCTCGTCGGAGATGAGACCTTGGAGTTCGAATTCCTCCGCGTCGTGCAGGTGCTGTGCTTCCGAGGGGGAGCGGGCATGGCCGTTCATGAGGCGGCCGTTAGCGGTGGGTCTGTAGCGGGATGAGCCCTCGCCGGCATCTGCGGCGCTGGAGGAGCGCGAGTGCGAAGGCGCTTGTGCGGATTCGGGCCATGCGTGGACGGCGTAGATGTGGAGGAGTACGTTGACGACTGTGTTCAGTGGGTTAGTGTAATTCCTTGGTTTTAGGGGGGAAGAGGGGCTTCTTACATAGGAAGAGGATGAAGGCGATGCTGTAGAGGATGAGAACGTAGGATACGTGGGTGATGCCTGCATCGTTCAGAAGTTGCATCTGCTCCTCGGTAGCGCCCATGAAGAGGAAACCTGAGGCGTATAGAAGCTGCGATATGTTAGAACGACGATACTCTTCAGCCGGAGGGCTGTGGAAGACTTACGAAAGGCGTGAGATATTGGAAGCTGTTAGGGTCGGATCCGTCCGGGCTGACACTGCCCTTGTCCCGAAGCACGAAGGAGATCTCGACGATTCTGGTGAAACCAGCAGCCATCAAGGTGTAGCCAAAAATACTGTGAATCATGGTGCTGATCATCAGAGTCTGCGGGTGGGCAGACATAGCATAACCAGTGAGGAGAATAACAATGGCAGGGATCAAGTTCCGCTTGGGACGGCCGTTGCGCTTCCGACTCATCCAGATACCCAGTAGACCGGCGCACCACCAAACAACACCCATAGTGGTGTGCTGCAAATCATTGTGGACCCAAGGACCTCCCCAGCGGTGTTCCGTGAAGGTGTTGACACATCCCCACGCAGCGATAATCAACGAGTCGAAGAACTCCTGGCTGCGGCCAGTGCGGCGCAGCCAGTACTGGCCAACGAGGAGCAGTATGGTCAACAGGATACCATAGGCGATGAAAGCGCTACCCATGATGAAATGGGCCAGACACTGTCCCAAGTGATCATCCCGACAGAATCCCATGGCGGTTATTCCTCCAAAGAGCATCTGGACCCAGCTCGCCACAGGCATCGCCTTTCCGACCACTCCGTGCGCAATCACAATAACCCGGCGGATCCGGCCATGAATTCCCTTGGAAAGGTGCAGCTTGAGATAGACGCCGAGGACGATCTGCACCACCATCATGAGCATCAGTGTGTTCGCAAAGGACGCGTGGACGTTCTTCGAGAACTGGCGGCCTTTATGAGCATGTCCGAGGAAGTATGCGAGCACAGCGATGATCGTTCCGGCAATCTGGAGAGGGACGTGCCAGCGCGAGCGTACAATCTGCGATCGTAAAGCGGAAATGTCAGATATGAACCTCATGTAATCATGCAACCAGATATCCCCGACCGCGGAAGGCCGGAGATAGGATGTAACAGGGCCAGCTTACCCCAAGAACCATGCCCAAGGGGAAAATGATGCCAAAGGCGAACCCCATAAGAATCATATGTATCCATAGTGTTGTGTCCTAGGCGACTAGTCAGTACATTGTTGAGACCGCTGCGATCGCAGACAGGTGCGACAACATACAATCGGATCCTCGGAGATGGCGGCACCCTCGGGGACACTCTCATGGCCCCCATGGGCCAGGGCCGGGGAAGCAAGCAGTAGGACTGCTAGCAACCCTTGGGGCCCAAATCGACTCGATATCGCCATGATCAACTTCACCCTTTTGCGAGGAGAGAAAGAGTGAAGAAGAAGAGGGGAGGGAGGGGGAGAAAGGGAGAGAGAGAGAGTCAGACGATTGAGGATGAGGATTATTGATGGAGGCGGAGGCGGGAGTTCGGTTCCCTATTCGGCCTTCGTTATTAAGGGAGCCGCGAAATCGGGCGAAGCGGATTGGTCGCCCAGCGTTGTATGGCCACAATTACCAGGCAGTCAGTACTACTTAGTATACTACTACAACTACTAGGTCTACTTACTTACCTACTACAACAAAAGCGCTACTAATTCGTCGAGGGTAGTAGACCATTCAGCTCATCGCCATTGCTAATATACCCTTCTAGAATAATCAACAAAAATATACCAAACCCCGTGGTGAAAGATTTTCATCATCGCTTGACAGTGGATTCGAATTATCTGTGAAACTGCAGATCGGACGGCATAGAAGAGACGGGCCCCATCCAGGCCTACGTACTCACTCTACTTATATCTACAAAAAGTACGCTATTCTCTCCCCACACACCAGGCAGTCAAGGCAGCTAGCTCTCTGAATCATTGCCAAGGCTATCCTGTTACATTGGTTATTCCCTCGAACATAACAGCCCGGTTTCAACTTATGGAGAAGACCATCATGCCACCACCCCAGCAAGCCACATCCTCCACTACAACCCCAGCCAGTGATGACCAGACCCAGACCCAAAGAGACAAGAAGCTGGTAGCTACTATGTACCCTTCCCCCCCACAAGTAGCAACAATCAAACTAATGAAAAAGCCAAGTCCACCCTCCGCGCATCCATCGCCAATCTACAATCCCAAATCACAGAAACAGAATCGCAAATAGAACAGACCAAGGCCAAACTGAGGTATGAAAACCATCCTTTCACATCCGTAATTTCATAACCAGTTCTATCAATCACTCACATACATGGGTATTCTCACTTATTGACACCAAGTTTAGAAATGACCCATCCACGACGGTCAAACGACACATTCGCCTTCTCCATGAGTACAATGAAATCAAAGATATCGCCCAGGGATTGATGGGTTTGATTGCCGATGCTCGTGGTGTACGACAGGTGGATGTGCAGAGGGAGTATGGGTTGGATGATCGAGACTGATTTACTTAGGGTGTTGATTGATGGGGTTTAGCGATTGATGCAGGCGTCCAGGGTACTAGTTGTCGATTCTTGCGGAGTTCAGGAATGGGTTTATGGTTGGGCGTTTATGAATGGCGAGGGGCAATCTTCTTAGTATGAATACAATTGAAACTGCTACATCAGTAGAATCAGAAGCCATCTGAATATGTGATCAAAGTAACTCGAAGCTGTCATGCAATGCTACTACTTTTATATACTCCAGCTAATGATAGAAATGAAAGTTGCCCTCAAAACTAAAGTACAGTCGTGAGATTTTCCATTCTAAGCAAGCAGAATTCCCGCCCACTCCAAGCCGATGAATGCAGCTTAAGAAGTAACAAAAAACACGGAGTGACCACAAGAGCCAACACCAGACATGGCTTTTGAGAAGAGATCATAACACATTACACAATAAATAGAGATGAGAGATAATCGCAAGTATAAGGGGGGGGTATAAGCAAAGCAAACAGACAGTAGAGATCTAAACAGGATGCAATAAATATTAGTGCCCACCGTCCAGGCTCTGCAAATTAACCAGCTCGTAATAACGGCCTTTTATCCGGATCAATTCTTGGTGGGTTCCGCTTTCGACGATCTTCCCCTGGTCGAAAACATAGATGATATCGGCCTTCTGAATCGTACTCAGACGATGTGCGACGGCGATCGTGGTTCGGCCCTTAGCCGCAGCATCCAATGCAGCTTGGACAACCTTCTCGGACTCGGAATCGAGAGCAGAGGTGGCTTCATCCAGAAGAAGCACTCGGGGATCCCGGATCAAGGCGCGTGCGATCGCCACACGCTGCTTCTGACCTCCAGACAGCATGCCTCCTTTGCTACCGACAACGGTATTGAAACCCTCACTGGAATTGTTGTTAGTGCCAAATCCTTTCTGGACAACAAAGGGGTGAACTTACGGTAGGGACATGATAAAGTCATATATGTTGGCATCCTTGCAAGCCTTCACCAGTTGCTCCTCCGTCACATCTTCGCCGCGGACTCCCAACAAAATGTTCTCCTTGATGGTGCCTTGGTACAGAGTGGGTTCCTGGCTGACGAGCGACAAGAAACTGCGGTATGAGTTGACATTGATCTGAGTGATATCCTTTCCATCAATAAGAACCTTGCCAGAAATGGCATCGTAGAAGCGCTCGAGGAGCGCAATCGTCGTGCTCTTGCCACATCCACTAGGCCCAACGAGGGCAATGTATTGTCCAGGCTTGACGGTCAGGTTCAGGCCCCGCAGGACAGGCTGCTCGGCCCGGGTAGGGTACCGGAAGTGCACATTCTTGAACTCAATTTCTCCTTCCACAGATTCGAGCTGCTCGCCCTCTTCGGACCATGTGTCAATCTCTGGCTTCCGGTCAAACAGTCTCCGGAACTCAGCTGCAGCGTTCTTCGCCTTGCCCATGTCAGGAGAGAAGGAGAAAACAGTACCAGCGGATTGGGCGCCAAACAGGATTTCGGAGAAGCAGACGAAAAAGCGAAAGACTGAGTACTCGTGATGGCCAAGGAGAGTACCTCCATACCAGAAGCCGAGTGCAACACAGAAGAAAACAAGAGCTTGCGAGCATGCATAGAGGATAGAAGACTTCAGCACGGATATCAAACTCTTCCGGCCCTGGTCCTCCAGCTGAGAATGGTACATCGCCCAGACATCCTGCTCCCGAGTAAGGGATGCGACAGTGCGAATAGCAGATGTCGCCTCGCAAGCATAGCTTGCAGAACCCTCATAGGCAGTCTTGGATCGTTGTTGGAATCTTGCAAGCATGTAGAAGCGGTAGAAACCACAACCCAGAAGGACAGGGACCACAGAGATACAAACCAGAGCCAGTTTCCATCCGATAGATAGAGAGATGATCATAGCCGCGCCGAGAGTAGTGCTGGTCATGAGAATAGTTCCCAAGGTCGCACCACTGACACCAGAAAGATGCTTAGTCTCCGTCGAAAGGAAAGATGTGAGCGCACCAGTGCTGTTTTCCTCTCGGTCGAAGAAGGTAATATCCTGGCGAAGAATCGACCTGAAGGCCATGCTACGGGCGCGGCGAATCAGTCGCTCTGAGCAGACAGCAAATGCGGCACCATTGATGGAAAGATTGATGAACTGAGCAATTCCGACAACGAAGAACATCAGAGCCCAAAAAGCCCCATCGTGACGGATTTTGGCGGCCTCGCTAGTAGGCAAGGAAAGTGTACTGATAGCTTTGGCGTAGAGTACAGCCTGAGTCGGCTGGCCACCACCGGAAAGGACGGCGAAGACCAAGCCAATGAGCATATACTTGAGCTCAGGGCGATTGAAAGAGGCAATAAATTTGACCAACGTCCAGAGGGAGTACTTCCGAGCCACCTCGGGCTCCCGCTTAGAAAGAATGGCGCTGGAGATGGACTTGTGCGTTCCACTGCGGTTCAGTCCGTTCCCGGCGAGGGACTTCTCATCCTCATCATCGAGAGAGCCAGACCCGCTGCTAGCAGACTTGATGCGCGCAATTTCCTGTTTGGAGAAATCTTCCTCATCCACATCCTCGTCGGCAGCCAGGGCTTCCGCGTCCTTTTCCTCGTTGATACGCTGGGCCTCAACAAGACTGTGGTAGGTACCCTTACGGCCGACAAGCTCGTTGTGGTTTCCTTGCTCTACAATCTTGCCATTCACCATGACAACGATGTTGTGCGCCGTCTTGATAGTAGACAAGCGGTGGGCAATCACGATAGTGGTTCGACCTTCAGCAGCTCGGTCCAGTGCTGCTTGTACGACGCCCTCGGATTTCGTATCCAATGCAGACGTGGCTTCATCGAGGAGAAGAATCTTGGGATCGCTTACGATGGCACGCGCGATGGCAATACGCTGCTTCTGTCCGCCGGAAAGCAAAAAGCCGCGCTGGCCAACGTTGGTCTCATATCCTTCGGGAAGTGCCGTGATGAAATCATGCGCATTGGCCATTCTAGCCGCATTCTCGATCAGCTCTCGGATCTTTTCCTCGGATTCTTGCTCGAACTTGGTTCCAATGAGACCATAACGGATGTTGTGATAGATCGTAGTGCCGAAGAGAACAGGTTCTTGGCTGACCAGCGAAATTTGCTGACGCAACCAACGAAGGTTGAGAGTCGAGATATCATGGCCGTCCAACAAAACAGAACCCCCTACGGGAAAATAGAAGCGTTCAACGAGTCCGACAACGGTACTCTTTCCAGAGCCGGACGGGCCCACCAAGGCAGTGGTCTTTCCGGCAGGCATGCTAAGAGAAACACCATCCATGACAGTGACTTCTGGTCGCGAAGGGTAGATGTGCTTGATGTCACGGAACTCAATGTTGCCCTCGAAATGCTCAAGCTTCTCACCTTCTTCGGAATAAGGATCCAGGGGCGAGGGGCGGTCAATTGTACCGTAGATCTTGACAGCGGCGGCGACAGCGTTGGTGAATGCCTGAGCGTTAGGGCTGACGTTACCCAGACTGAACGAACCGATAAGGATAGCCATCAACACAGTCAGGACCTGGCCAACATTGACCTCACCGTCTGTGAGGAAGCGGGAACCCATCCAGAAGCCAAGGCCATAGTTGGAGAACATAATACCAAACATGCCACCAATCATGAAACCAAGGGTCACTTGGGTCTTGATACCCCACTTCTCAGCTTCAGCCAAATGAGTTTCATATTGCTTTGCGAGTTTGTCCTGAGTTCCGAAAGCAGTTGCATTGCGGATGGAGCTGATAACTTCCTCCGCTACAGTACCACCGGCACCGGCGCTCTGCAGAGCCTGCTTGCTGTTCTTGACAATGAACCGAGATCCACCTCCCATAAGCAGAACCAACGCCACAATGGTCGAAGTGCAAATCAGGGCCAGCTTCCAATATTTAATATAAGCGACAATAAAGGCAGTGACAAACGTGGCGATGGCGGTCAATGTCAGTCCAACCTTTTCTGAGACACCGTCTTGGATGAGATTTGTGTCGGCCGTAATGCGCGTAGTCACTTCACCGGCACCCAGCTTATCGAAGTAACCCATGTTTTGTCTCAAGATCGACTCAAGGTAGTGTTCGCGAATCTTTTGGGTGACATGTTCACCAGTGTAGATGAAGCCGACAGTGGAGATGTATACGGTGACGAACTCTGCAATGCCGAGATAAACGAAATAGAGAACATTTTTCGTTAACTGGTGGTAAAAGTCGTGGTACGTAATCTCATACAAGGCTATGCCTCGGAAAGCTGAGGCCAAGGAACCGAAGAGGATCTAAGTCGAAGTCAGTCTATGAACTAAATGGTTATTAACTGGCGTCATAGATAGGCACTCACTGTGAAAAGAGGCAGCGCAGCGCCTGCGACAATGGCACAGATTGCGCTCACGAACATAATCGCAAGGTCCATTCGGGAAGCATAGCGAAACAGACCAAAGAAGGAGACATTGACATCATCCGCGTCCAACTGCATCTTCAAGATCTGTTTCTCGTGCTCGGGAAGATGCGCATACAGCGCATCTGAATCATCAGCTCGGGCTAGCTGGTTGCCAGTAGATGGCTGAGACGCTGGGCCCTTTTCTCCTGCAGGAACCATTGTCGTACTGGTGATTGACGACTGGCCGCTTGACTTGCGCTGCTCTGCTGAGGACGGTCTTGCTCCGTCCATTGCTGTCAATTCCACGTCGTTCGGGGATGTCTCCGCCGAGACGTGCTCATTCTCTGGGTGAGACATTCCGTTCGAGGTGTCGAAACGAAAGCCTCACTCTCTGGTATATATGGAGGAGGGTGAAAGACGAGGACAAGAGATCGCTCTACTCCATGAGGTGGGACAGCTGATGGGGAAAGTTGAAGTTGCTTGAAGCAGGAGCTGGCCGATTGCCCCCGAAAATAACAGACGCGAGGGAGAGAAGTACGCGCAGGGATGGGAGCAGGGAGGGGGAGGGGTGTTAGGAAGAGAGATAGGATGGCTGGTGCCCTGTTGTGAGATATTCCTCCACACGCGTGGCAGATAGGGATGGAATGATCAACTACAACTTATGTGGTGGAGGGCAAGTCAGACTGGATTGAAAGGGACCCAGGGCAAAATGGGAATTAAAAATGTGGGAAAAAAGGGGAGGAGGCTCTAAATATTAAGCATAATTAAAGAAGAATAGGCATCAGA